AACCTCCTAGAGGAAAACAGGGGAAAATCTTCCTGAGGTTAAGTTTTAGGAATGATTTCTTAGATACAGCATCAAAATCAGAGGAAACACAAGCCAAAATATATAAGTCGGACAATGCTTCTGTACAGCAAAGGAAACTATCAACAAAATGAAAAGGCAGCCTATAGAATAGAAGAAAATACTTGCAAAACATATAACTGATAAGAGGTTGATATCCAAAATATATAAAGAACACATACAACTCAGTAGGAAAAAAAAAAAAACCCAATTTAAAAACAAGTAGAGAAACTAAATAGACATTTCTCCAAAGAAGACATACAAATGGCCAACATATACATGAAAAGATGTTCAAAGTCACTCATTGGGAGATGCAAATCAAAACCACAATGAGATCTTTATTCATCTTGCATAACTGAAACTTGTACCCTTTGACTAATAACTCCCCATGTTCCCCTCATACCAGTCAAGAAGGCTACTATCAAAAAGGAAAAAAAAAAAAAAAACAGCAAATGTTGGCCAGGATGTGGAGACAATAGAACCCTTGTACACTGTTGGTGGGAATGTAAATTGGTGCAGCCAGTCTGGAAAACAGTATGTAGTGTCCTCAGGAAAAAAAAAAAATCATGTGACCCAGCAATCCCATTTCTGAAATATACCCAAAGGAGTTGAAATCAGGATCTCAAAGATTTATCCGTACTCTCATGTTCAATGCAGCATTTACCACAATAGATAAGACATGGAAGCAACCTAAATGTCCACTGATGGATGAAATTGATAAAGAAAATGTGGCTTAGGCATGCAATGGAAAATTATTCAGCCTTAAAGAGAAGGAATTCCTGTTATTAGTGACAGTGTAGATGAACCTACAGGGCATTATGGTAAGTGAAATAGGCCAGACACAGATAGATAAATACTATGTAATACCACTTATATGAGAAATCTAAAGTGGTACAACTCATAGAAGCAGAAAGTAGAATGATGGTTGCCAGAGGCTGAAAAGGGGAACATGGGGAGTTATTAGTCAAAGGGTACAAGTTTCAGTTATGCAAGATGAATAAAGATCTACTGTACAATATAGTGCCTATAGTTAACAATACTATATTGTATACTAAAAAATTGCTAAAGGAGTAGAACTTATATTACGTGTTCTTATAAAAAATAATGATAAATAAAGGCAGGAGGAAACTTTTGGAGGTGATAGACTTGTTTATGGCATTGATTGTGGTGATGGTTTCATGGATGTACACTTATGCTCAAACTTATCCAGCTAAATAAACATTAACTATGTACAGCTTTTTGTATTTCAATTATACCTCAATACAGCACTTCTTTAAAAAATCTATTTTAACTACTCAGTGTTGTTTCTACTCCAGCAGATATGTTTTTGGTACACTGTCATATGAGAGGACGAAATGATATGTGATGTGAGAAACAAAAGTAGAAGAAAAATGATTAAATTTCCTTACTACCTACAGCCTATTGACAAGTCCTTGAAATAGGCAGAGTGGCATTCCTCCAGGAACTTAGCTGCCTTGATGTTAATACTTTGCTGAGGGCAAAAGGCCATCTTAGCCTGACCCCCAGGATCCTGTAAGTCTATTTTAACATGGAACAATTCCTTCGGAAACTTTCTTTAACTCTACCCCCAAAATACATGTTGGCAATCATCATTCAAGCATATGACCCACCAATATACATCTGAAGAGCTTCATGACTAAGTTTTTACTAAACAGTAATAAATGACGTTTTCCTCACAAGAGCTAGCCCCCTCAGGATCCTGGAAACCTTGTTTCCAAAATACGTGGGAGGCTTACTCTATCCCCCAGCCCCCTCCCAGCTTGAAAGTATATAATGGGCCACTCCTCATGACCCCAGTGCCGCTCTTTCTGCCCATAGGTCCTGTCCCGTGCTTTAATAAAGCCACCTTTTTGCACCAAAGAATCTCAAGAATTCTTTCTTGGCCATTGGCTTCGAACCCATTAGTCTTTCCACATCAATATATACTCACTTATTTGATGATATTTCCAAATGACAACAAAAAAATCTGGTAATATGACTAGGGTCCTATTCTGACAAGTAAATAATAGAAGGAAAGAAAAAAACGGAAGCTCACCTACATTTCTTATCTTTGTTATCTTCATTGTCCTCAGTAAAGTGAGTCACATCGCTTTTGGTAACTTTTCTCCAATTTGCTACTAACAATTGCCATAAAGCCAAATGCAGATAACCCCAACATAATCTATTTTGTGATAAACGATTTTAATTTGAATAGGGGCCAAGACTGTCATGAGAAGTTCTTTGGTCCGTAATTTTTTATTCTCAGTAATATGATAAAATGACATTTCTAATTTCATTGTATGTAATTAAGATAGAGCCTCTGGACTCCTGGGCACCTGGATGGTTCAGTTGGTTAAGTGTCTGTTTTCAGCTGAGGTCATGATACCAGGGTCCTGTTCCAGCCCCACATTGGGCTCCCTGCTCAGAGGGGAGCCTGCTTCTCCCTCTCCCTCTGCTGCTCTCCCTGCCTATACTCTCTCTCTCTCTGTCAAATAAATAAATAAATAAAATCTTAAAAAAGGGGGGGGCGCCTGGGTGGCTCAGTCATTAAGCATCTGCCTTCGGCTCAGGTCATGATCCCAGGGTCCTGGGATCGAGCCCCACATTGGGCTCCCTGCTCAGCAGGAAGCCTGCTTCTCCCTCTCCCACTCCCCCTGCTTGTGTTCCCTCTCTCGCTGTGTCTCTCTCTGTCAAATAAATAAAATCTTTAAGAAAAAAAAGAACCTCTGGATTCCTTAACATTTGACCTGGTAAATGGCTGATAAAGGCTCATCCTGGAGATACTTACCTGTCCTAGAAAACGGGAGAATTTCATTCAGTGGTGGCTGCCTGCTCAAGATGAAGCGCTGTGTGAATGAGGGTGTGTTCCCTTGTGGCTTTGTTTGGTCATGATTTCAATGATCAGAACCTACAGAGAAGTTATTTTTTAGCCACGTTTAACTGTTGCCTACAGAAAGAGGTTAGTACCCTCCGAATTAGGTAGTCTAGTCTGTCGGTGAGTCCAAACTCATTGGCTGCAATGGTTACTTCTTCTTTTAATGAACAAGGTAAACCTGTGTTCCTCTCCTAACGTGATATCCAAATTCACTTTTCTCTTTCATTTCCCTTCTTTCTTCCACTCTCAGGTTCTCTCTCCCTCGTATGGTACATAAATTGAAACTTCTAATTACTCTTTCTCATCCAGGATGCAAGAAAGCTATAATAGTTTCACAATATGCAGATGGTCACAAAACTGTCAAAAGGTCAAAGTAATTGAAGGGTCAAAGAAAAAGAAATTAGATTTGGGGGGCACCTGAAAGAAAAAAAAATTGCAGCTTTCTACTCATTTACCATACAGTGAAGCAAAGCAGTCAACAAGGCCTGCTGCTGAAATTTATTATTTTACTCCCTCTGGCATCTATATAAGTGGGCTATCTAAATATCACCAGATACTTGAGGAAGGCCTCAACAAGAGAGATAAAAACAAACAAAAGGAAAAGCAAAACTTGGAAAAAACAGATACATTACTGAAGAAAATAGCCAAAAAAACTCTCACTCCAAACCCCATAATTAATATCCTCTCAGACATAAAAAACAATCTACAAAACAAGAATAGAAAACTATAAGGAAGGACATTTGGGGGGGTGGGGAATGTTAGCAGCTGAAAACACAATAACAAAATTTTAACTTAGGGTATAAAAGATCAATTGAGAAAAATCTCAGAAATTTTAACAAACAAAAAATAAGAAAGAAAACAGGGAAGAAGAGGCAGAGAAGATGGAGAGAAAGAAAGAGAGAATGCAAATGAGAAAAAGGTGAATTTGAATATCCTATTAGGAAAGGAACATGGGTGTACCGTGGCCATTAAAAAGAGAAGTAACATTTGTAACTGGTTTTGGACTCACGGAAAAAACCAGGCTACTCTTGTCCAGAGGAAACTAATCTGGGTGGTTGTTTTTTGCAAGAATGGAAGGGTAGAGGGCAGAAATAACTGAAGCCTGTTTCCTGAACCTATGTGTTCCGTTTCACATCTCATGAGTACTCTTTTTTGAATAAGATGATCTGTCTCTTCTGCGAAGGGTAATTCCAGACAATTTGTGAGAGAGTCCTTGAAGTATTACTTGTAAAGAATGGTTCAGCTCTAATTATAAATGGAGAGGAGTGCCTGGGGGTCTAAGTGGGTTAAGCATCCAACTCTTGATTTCAGCTCAGGTCATGATCTCAGGGTTGTGAGATGGAGCCAGAGTTGGGCTCTGCGCTCAGCCAGGAGTCTGCTTGAGATTCTCTCTGTGCCTTCTTCCTGCCCTTCTCTCTCTTTCTCTCCCTCTCTAAAAAAACCAAACCAAACCAAACCAAAACAAACAAACAAAAAAAAACCCAATTAGAATTAGAATTAGAAGAAAGAGAAGAAGAAGAAGGAGAATCCTCTTATTTTCAGAGAACTCTCTGTATGATTTTTTTTTTTTTAGAAAAATAAGCAGTTGTTTTATTGTGCACCTGAATGAAAAGAAACTGTATGGGAAATATGTGACTGAGTTAAGCATATTTTAACTTTTTAACTATTGGAGGGACAAAGGCCTACAGAAGTCCTCATATAATATATAACAGAAAATAGAACAGTAACATCTTTATACAATAACCTGTTAGAAATGATAAGTTTAAGTGTAAAGTTGTGCGTGCCTGCAGCTCTTCAAGATTATCATGCATAGATTGGACCCTGCCCTATGTTAGATATTAAAAACACACCACAACCAAAAAACATTTGGGTACTTAGAATTGACTGACTTACTACCATAAAAATTCAGAGTAATAAATGGTGACAGTAGTAGTATTAAGTCAAAAATAGTCAAGCACATAGTGTTCCAGTGAAGCAAAGGCATAGTTCATCTTCTCAATTTATTATTTATTTATTATCAAATTATTAAAAATATATATATAAAATATTAAAAATATATATATTCTTCTTCTTGAGTTTGGAAAATTCTGTTTTCCAGATACCTAAGAAAAATGTATACCTTCTGCATTGAATCCATGTAGCAATCTGATGAAGTCATCTATGTCCATGGAATGGGCCCGCTTGTCACTAAAACCTGTGCTGGTTAGGATTTGCTGTATTTTATCTGCTATGCTGAAATCTTCTGGTATTATAATATTATGGATCAAACAGTGAATTCCGTAGTTTTTTTCCAACAGCTGTTGTACTGCACTTGACTTAAATGCAGCAGAGAGTGTCTTGTTTTTCCTAACAAAGGTAATCCTTACTAGGCCATCCCATTCCTGAAAATTGATAGGTGGTGGTGGATTCTTAGGTTCTATTCTTACGACACTGGATTCTACCTCGGGTGGTGGCCCGAAGTTATTCTTTCCAACTTTCATCAGATGGTCCACACGTGCTAAGAGCTGTGTATTGATTGAGAGTCTGCAGTATAATTTATCTCCAGGCTTTGCAACTAGTCGGAGAGCAAATTCTCTTTGAAACATAAGTACAGCACATCTGAAGAGACAGTAGAAAAGGAATAAGGAAAATGGTTACTTTTAACTATAAATGTATTTCAACTTCAATTAATTTTCTTGGGTGGGAGACCTATTTTTGATTAGAGTGAAAATTCAGAATCCATTCTTCAGAGAAGTTTGAGGCTTCAGTAACTGTAGAATTGGCTCAGTGGATCTGGGATACAGAGAGCTCTCTGAAAATAAGAGGATTCTCCTTCTTCTTCTTCTTCTAGTACATCATACTAAGAGCTATTGCTGTCTCATTTGGAGCTAAAGAGACCTATGTTTTTTATTATCTATGAGCCCAAGGATAAGTACCAAATAAACAAGCAGCTTTTCCCCAAACCTCAAAGCTTAAACTATTTTTATAGGCACAACAGATGGTAAAGTTTAACTTGATTTATCCCTGAGAGGCTGTCCCCTCGGAGAGGGAGTCCGCCTTGCAGAACCCCTAGTAGAGTGCCGAGGGGAAATCAGGACTGGTCCACATGATAAAACAGCTGTAACTGCAGGGCTTGGACCCCAATACACAGTCATGCAGGGGAATAACTGGTGCTCCCTCAACCAGTAATAGTGAGTAGAGGAATAAGGCTGACAGCCAAGGTTCTGACATAGCTCACTGCTATCAGCATTATATTCAGGAATTAAAATCAAAGGTATAACTGGAATGGCATGGGACCCAGGCAATCAGAATAGGTCCTGGGGTGGATAGAATTATAAAGACTTTTCCCCCAGTTTTCAATCCTCCGGTTATTTGATCAAACAGTAGTCTAGGTATTGCTGTGAAATTTATTAAGGTTACTGATCAGCTGACCTTAAAATGGGGATAGTCTCCTGGATTATCTGGGTGGGTTCAACGTAATCACATGAGGCCTAAAAAGCACAAGAGGAAGACAGAAGAGGCAGTAAGAAGGTGCAGCAGAGATGGAGGTCAGACAGACTCCAAGCATAAGGAGAATTCAACTGGCAGTCACTAGCTCTGAGGTATGGGATCCTTGTGGCCAGGCGCCCAGCTGACAGCCAACAAGGAAACTAAAATCTGTCTACAACCACAAAGGATTCTTCCAACAATTTGAATGGATTTGAAAGTGGATTATTTCCAGAGCTTCCAGTTATGAACCCAGTTGGCAAAGACTTTGATTCAACCTTGTGAGACCCAGATCAGAGAACTCAGACAAGCCAACCCAGACTGCTGACCTGCAGAACCCTGAGATGACAAAGTTATGTTATTTTAAGCTGATAAATTTGTGGCTATTTGTTACAGCAGCAGTAAAAATCTAATACAAATGCCCAACCTATCAGTACAACTTGCATGCAGTCAATCAACTGCAAACTATCAGCCCTGGCTATGCCATGTAGTGTTTTACCTGAAACTAGTGTTACTGCCCATCTAACTGCTGAAATACAGAAAGTTGTGTGGTGCATATTTCCTCCTACACTGTACCTACAGTTAAATAATGTAAAACTTAATGCCTGAATATTTTTTCTCTATGCAGACCAGTCCCATTCTGTACACATATTTATTACCAAGGACAAACAGCATTGATACCTAATTTCATATTTAGGATTGTAACCCACTCAAAGCATTCTAGAGGCTCATATGTTTGATGTAGGAGATTGTTCACAGCATTATGTATATAAATAATAAATTATGGCACAATTATTACATGAAATATTATGCAAACCTTCCATAAATTTTTGAAGGAAAGGATTACTATATATTAAATGAAAGGAGGATACTAAATTGTATCAACTGAGTCTAAATTTATTATAAATACAAAATACTTGCACATACAAAGAAGACTGGAACAAATACATTGTGTGATAGTGATCATTAATAGATGGTTGTTATTAGTAATTTTTACATGTTTTTATATATTTTATAAAATGTCTATATTGGGGCACCTGGGTGGCTCAGTCTGGTAAGCGTCTGCCTTCGGCTCAGGTCATGATCTCAGCGTCCTGGGATTGAGTCCCACATCGGGCTCTGTGCTCAGCAGGGAGCCTGCTTCTTCCTCTCCCTCTGCCTGCCTGCCTGCCTGCCTCTCTGCCTACTAGTGATCTCTCTCTCTCTCTGTCAAATAAATAAATAAAATCTTTAAAAAATAAATAAAATAAATAAAATGTCTATATTATTTACAATTTGATTTTTTTAAAGCAAACAATCTGTAGAATTGGTTTGCTATGTATACCTATGCCACTAATTCTATATATTACTTGCCAAATTAAACTTTTAGCACTTTGCTTTCCTCATTTTCCAAAATAAATGGAAATCATTATTTTAGTGATTATATAGAGAGGCTACTTTTATCAAAACTATTTTTTTCTTTATTTTTTTAAAGATTTTATTTATTTGAGAGAGAGAGCATGAACTGAGGGAGGGGCAGAGGGATAAGCAGACTGCTGAGTAGAAAGCCCAATGTGGGGCTGGATCCCAGGACCCTGAGATTATGATCTGAGCCGAGATCATGACCTGAGCAGAAATCAAGGGTCAGATGCTTAACCAACTGAGCTACCCAGGGTCCCCTATCAAAACTATTTTATATCATTAAAATTATATTTTAGCATCTAACTTAAAGCTTAATAAACTCTATGCATAGCAGTTTTAACCTAGAAAATCTATTCTTTTTTAAAAAATAGAAATTAGAAATTAGAAATTCTATAAGTAGAAATATAAATAAATATTTAGGTGGAAGCAAATTTGGTACAATCCTTTTGGAAAGCTTTTTGGCAAGATATGTAAAAAGAATTAAAATGATCAAGCATGTTGACCCTGAAATTTACCTGGTAATTTAGCCTCATAAAATGATTCAAAAGAAAAAAGGGATAAATGAATATTTAACTCCATTTAAAAGATTTTCTGCCAATATTAGCTTTAAAAAATATAGCATCTATCCTAGATGGTTTGAATTCTTCACCTACACACCCCAGATTAAACCTAACTACTTAATGTTTCAATGTGCATTAACCCTGTAAGTCTAAAGAACAAATTAGAAATTCAATACTCAATGAAGGAACAGTTTGGAATCTCTTTACCAGGCTAATAAGCACAAATTACATTCCTCAAAACATCACTATATTTAAGTTATCACACATGGCTATGAAAATTTTTCTTCACTATTATCTCTTACAGATGAATATATGACTAAATAAATAAATGCAATTCCTGCTCTGGTATGAATTTAAAAGATTACCCTGCAAATGAATTTAGTTCACCATCTGAATTTACAAACCTACACTGAACATCAAATAACAAGAAATTTCTTCTTTTTTCTGAAAAAGACATAACATCATATTATTATTGGAAAGATCTAGTTTTATGTGTTCTTCTTCTTAGAATGTAGTTAAAATGTTGAATTACCACCAGTACTGAGCTGGCTAAAGTAGAACTAATTTCTAACACAACCATGATACATGGTTGCCATGTTACTATTTGTTGTCAATGTTGATTCCACTGACAACTTGATTGTGGGTGGTACAAATAAGTAGTAAAATGACAGAAGAGAGAGCAAGCAGAAGACAAACATGATGCAGTGTAATTAAGTAATTGAGGTTTTATCCATTGATCTTTTTAAATATAAAATCTATATGCTGAACTCAGGTTGACATAGGACATATTTATTATAATGCCTTATTGAGGAGCTGAAGGCATTGTTGACCTTCTCTGGGTTTCTGTTTGTAATTTTTTACTTTGTTTTGTTTACCTTTGATACTCATAAAAAAGTATGACATGGAAGCTCAGCTTTTGACCCAGTAACCAAATATTTGTACTTCATAAGCATGAACCCTTATAATCTGAATATTTAGTTCTTTAGTTAACAGGGTTTCAAATTGTTCCTAGAGATTCATAAAAGTGTCTCCTCTCTTGTTTTTGCTCCTGGTACATCCAGAGAAGTTTATGCTTTCAACTAACAAAGGTTTAGTCCAATGAATTCGATTCTCCTTCAGGTCTCTCATTACATCCTCATGGTTAATAATCTTGATATTTGCTCATAATTTCTTTTAATTTGCTCATAATTACTTTTAAGCATGGTTAGCAGTAGTTGTAGTTTTTGTTTTTTTAAAATCCTAAACTTATTGTTTATATTTTGTTGCCTTGCCTTTTATTCTGCAGACCACCGAAATACGGTTTCCACTCTACCATTCCAATGAAGTTGCCCTTGCTAAGAATGGTAATGGCCTTTTAAATGTTAGACTCTATGAAAACTATTAAATCTTTAACTGAAAATCAAAAGAAATGTAAATTTAAAAAACCTCTTTTGTGGTTAGATTTTCTGGCTTTTCCTTCTAAACCTAATAATAATTCTCTCTTTAGGGGTGCCTGGGTTTCTCAGTCTTTGGGCATCTGCCTTTGGCTCAGGTCATGATCCCAGGGTCCTGGGATGGAGCCCCGCATCGGGCTCCCTGCTCCGTGGGAAGCCTGCTTCTCCCTCTCCCACTCCCCCTGCTTGTGTTCCCTCTTGCTGTATCTCTCTCTGTCAAATAAATAAAATCTTTCAAAATAAAAATTAAAAAAAAATAATTCTCTCCTTAGACAGCCATTTGATATTGGCTAAGTAAGTAGAAATTTTAGGCCCTCAATTCAATCATTTCATTTTGTTTTGTTGGTTTGGATTTTGAGTAAGTGAAAATTGTTTGATGTGTGCAAAGTGAAGAACGAAAACAGATAAGCTTATCAGATGGTGACGGATAAACCATAGCTACAAGAGGTAAAACTTGTGAAAAGATTCAGCTCTGTGCCGCTCCCAGGGCAACCTGATACTGCAGAGTGGTCATTCTCACTCTGCCCGAATGAAACACAGGATCCGCACTCCCACTCCAGTCTCTGTCTCTCTCTGTATTTTGTCTGAAAAAGGAGAACTACCACTTTAGAGGGACCTGGAACCACAGGGTGAGATCCTACTTTCTTTCGGCTCTGGTTATATCCACTGACTAGGCTTCAAATTGTGGCATAAGATGACGGAATATGTTTCTGTTTAGTGACCTCCCTTTCCATCAAGAACTGGGGAGGTGGAAGGCACAATAAATTAGGCATTGTGTTTAACCACAAGGTATGTATAAGCACTCTTTCTCATCATTGGGTGCAAACCAGAGAACAGCTGAACAAGAGTTCAACTCCCTAGAGAACATGATCTTGTGACTTACACATAGCACTTGGCCACCACAACTGCAACTTCCTTTCCAGCCTACAGCTTGCAACACCTTTGATTACGTCCTCATTAAAAGTCTTCCACTTCAGTTTTAGAAATATCCCTGTCTTCCCTTTCAATTTTTTTCTTTTGTCAGGCAAAGGATAAAAAGTCCATGCTCTTTAAACATTGCTTTATCTCCGTGCCTGACCCATTCCTCATACTGCAGTTTCAGTGGTGTGAGTCTACCTGTTTTGATAATTTGATTACTGTGCACATTTCTGTTTCTCTCAACAGGGATATCTTAATCAGTTGCCTCCACTTTGTCCCATAGGCATCTCAAACTCAACTAATTTAACCGGTCTCTATCCTAATCTCATTCTGTGATCCTTACTATATGTGTGCACTACCATCCATTCAATTGTTCAAGATGAAAACATTCTTGCTTTTTTCTTTTCTTTTCTTTTCTTTTAAGATTTATTTAGTTATTTGAGAAAGAGAGAGGGGGGTGCTGGGCGGAAGGGCAGGAGGAGAGGGTGAGAGAGCCTTAAGCAGACTCCATGCTGAGCACAGAGTAGGACATGAGGCTCAATCTCACGACCCTGAGATCACGACCTGAGCCAAAACCAAGAATCAGACACAACCGACTGCGCCACCGAGGCGCTACAGAAACATTCTTAAAATACTTCTCTTCTCTTTCCCTACCCAAAATCTTACCAAGCACAACCTATTCTTCCTTTTTCCCCCCTTCTTTCTATCCCTGGAATACATTCCCTCTTTTCTAATTTCACTAAACACTACCTCACTATATTTTTCAGTATTGTATTATTTTATGTCTGGAATTGTCACTAAAATGCTATCCTTGTTTCTCCTATCCTACAAACCCACACTAATTTTGTTTTTCTAAAGCAAGAACCTAATAGTGTCCTTTTCATAATTAAAATTATGTTATCAACCCATTCTCCAATATCAGGCTCAATCTCTTTAGCATAGTGTATGAGCCTTTACCTGCGGTCCCTGCCTACCTTGCCCAAGATTGATTAGTTTAGATAATCATAACTACTATAACCAATTTCAATGGCTTTTCTCAATACAAGCCTATTTCTGGCTTACTGATCAAGGTGGGAGTTTCTAGTCTGCAGGCAGCTCTTATTCATGCGGTGTTTCAGGGCCACAAGATCCTTCTGTTTTGTAGCTCCACCATCTCATAGGGTCTCATCATCTTCAGCATCAAGCCAATGGGAGGGAAAAAGCATGGTGAAGACTCACCTACTTCCTAAGAAACTTGGCTTAGAAGTAACACATTTGTTTCTTCTCACAGCTACTGGCTGCCATTCTGCCACATGGCCACATGTCAGCTGAACACTTAGCAGCAACAATTCTATCCCAAGAAAAAGAAAACACAAATTTTGGCTAACAGGTCATTGTCTTTGCATCAACATCAAGAGTTCAACTCCCTGTCCTGCCCCCTCTTACACTGCAGCATACTTAACCACTTGTATTCCTGAAAGACACCAAGGCCTAACTTTGCATATGTCTCAGCCTTATTATGCTCATGGCTATCTCCTACTCTTCTTTCAAAATTTAAATGAAAAACCTTTTTTTACAGAAAGCCATTACAGAACTCTTATTTCTGGATAAATATCCTCTCTGTATGTTCTATATTTTCCTGTTATAAGACGTGCTTGGAAAATCGTGATAGACTCAGTTATATACATTTTTACTTTTAAAATGCCCATTTCTCTTCTCAGTGGGACTGGAAAAATATGAGTATTTAAAATGAAACCTGGCTCATTTGGAGTGATTCTTAATACAAATTTCTGAAAATATTGTTAGTAAGGTAACCAAATTTAAGATCTTATAAACAGTTGTGACCATACATCTGGCAATGTATAGTTTGTTACAGAGGAACTTTTGGTTTGTTTTTATCTTTAGTAAAAACCTGTAGAAGATGATATAAAAATCTTTTGCTTAATAAGGAATTCATTTCCTTATCTTTCTGGGAAGACACCAGATAGCATCTCCCAGCTTGCTTTGCATTTCCATGTGGCCATTCAACTAAGTTCTAACCAAGGAAATGTTACCAGAAATGATGTGTGTCAATTCCAGGCCTGGCCCATAAAAACTTACCATGTACAACCAACTTCTCTTTTCTTCTCTCCGCAAACTCAATGTCAAAGCCCAGAAAAATCTTGGAAGCCATATCTTAAAGATGCCAGTGCTGCCATTAGCCTGGGTCCTTCAGTCATGCTGTAAAGCACAGCCCCCACCCCACCAAAGGGGAACACTTCCATTCGGTTGGTCCATTATGTAAAAAGAAAAAAAAAAAAGGCTTTTTGTTGTGTCATTGAAGTTTGGAGGTGGAGGTTGATAATGCCACCAGCATTATCCCAAATAATATGGCCCAATGTTGACAACTAAAGAATTTGTGTTTGGTAATCTAATTGGAAAATTAAAAATCTTTGCTAAGGTTAATATTTCAACACATAAAGTTTTGTCCTAATACAAATAAACTTGAAGCACCCAGATGTCAGAAACTTCTCTTGCTTCTTCCACTGTATCAATTGTCCTTGGGGCTGTGGGACTCATGGAGCTAATGTCTATGGCACTTAGCCTAGACAAGAAAACAGAGCTAAGAGCAAGGTGGAGAATTTTAGAAAGAATACATTTAAGATCCTCAGTGGTACAACGCTTTTGACTAAAAATATCCTTAAATAGCTTAAGTAAAAAGCCTGAATCACAAAGAGCTACAACCGAGGTGTAAAATTTAAAAATCCTACACACCACTGTGCAGAAGAGGACAGCAATAAAGAAGCTTGCTTATTTTGAGTACAAAACTGGTAGAAAACAAAAATAAATATCCTTGGTGTGTCCATAACCATAAGCCAACCTTCACAGAATAAGTCATCTGGAACTATGTAAGTCCAGGATCAGTGCTGCAGGTCATCAGTGTCATCAAGTTCTTGAGCTCTTTCCACAGACGGAGTAAGATTTCAACAAATTTGAGAAAATGGAAATAAGAGTCAGATGTAATAACTATCTTGTAAGACACAGGAAGTTATAAAATGTGTCAAGAAGGATGTAAGAATAAGGAGATTCAATTTACCTCCACAGAATCCCAGAGAGACTGAGCACTTAGTGATGCCAAATAAAGGGGAGGATAAAATTGAAAATTATAAAGTGAGGAATGCTTGAAAGCCTATATTCAGAAGCCTATTCACCCCTCCTCATTCACTACTCCATTGAGAGAATATGGAAATGGTATGTACCACCCTAAGCAAGGTGTAGAAGACTTCTGTTTAAAACAGAATGGAAATATCTAGGGACTCAAGAACAATATTCATCAAGGCAGAAAGGTTGAAAAATAACATTGGAAATGGAATCTATTGGATCTCTACAGTTTTACTGCCCCACCTACAGCAGAAGTTCAGCAGTCAGGAAGCTAAACCATAAACAGAAGCTTCTGCAAGCACTGAAAACTCTGGGCATCAACTCTGATAAAAGTGTTAAAACCATAAAAGTGTTAAAACCAAAGATAAGTTTCAGGCCCACCAAGAAGGAAAAACTAAGAGAAGACCCCCCCCCCAACTAAAAGCTGGGTTCATTGAATTACTACCTTATAACATGAAAGAGAAGTAAAACCCACCATGTAGGAGAGAAGAGCACAGAGAAAACTTACCATCTTGACCTTGGTGCCCAATATTAGAAAGATGAATCTATCTATCTGTCAATGTAAAATCTTTAAGCTATCAATAACAGCGTGATTTCAGACAATATGGACTTTGAAGGAAAAGCATTACTAGAAATAAAGAGAAACACTTCATTATTTATAGAGGTTCATTTCACCAGGATAATATAACTACTTTTAGTTTTTGCCTAATCATGCAACCACAAAATGTAAGGAAAAAAGTCAAAACAAGAAGAAATAGACAGGGGTACCTGTTGGTTAAGTTGGTGGCTCAGTTGGTTAAGCCTCTGCCTTCAGCTCAGGTCATAATTCCAGGGTCCTGGGATCAAGCCCCGCACATCAGGCTCCCTGCTCAGTGGGGAGCCTGCTTCTCCCTCTCCCTCTGCCCCTCCCCATCATTTGTGCTCTCTCTCTCTCTTTCTCTGTCTGAAATCAATAAATAAAATCATTAAAAAAAAGAAGAAATAGACAAATCTATCATTATACTGAGAGATATCGATATTCCTCTCATCAGTAGAATAAGCAAAGTACCAGCTAAAGTAACAGCGTAATTAAGAAATTGACCTAATACAAAAAAACACAATACCATATTCAACAATTGAAGAGTACACTTATTTTTCAAGTATATATAAAATATGTACAAAAAATGGCTGTGTACAAAAGGGCCATAATGCAAGTCTCAAAAAATTTCAAATGGTTGAAACCATTCAGAGCATGTTCTTGGACCACAATACACTATAAATAACAAGAAGATAACTAGAAAATTCTAACTTCTTCACAATTAGGAATAAGCAGATATTAAGATGGAATCATATTGGATGTCCTGATATACAGTAGGCTTTCTAAAATAAGATGCAAAATGCAGAGGTCAAAAGTGAAAAACACAGGTGCTCGCTTTGGTGACATATTAAACTAAAATTGGAACGATACAGAGAAGATTAGCATGGCTGCTGCACAAGGATGACAAACAAATTCGTGAAGCATTCCATATTTTTTAAAAAGTGAAAAATACAGTAAAAGATGATTAAAATGAAAGAGTTGTGAAAGCAACTGTAAATAAGATATAATCCAGAGACTCAATAGGCAAAAAAAAAAAAAAATCCCTTGTTTAACAAATGAGGGATTTAATCCCCGAAATGTAAAGAGCACAACAAATCAGAAAGTGGAAAAATATCCCAATCCAACAGAAAAGTCTGTATTAAATATCAGCCATATCATAGAACAAAATGGTAAAATGTTCAGAAATCCTATGAAAGATTACTCAATGTCACTAACAATTAGAATTAACAAAAACAATAATAAGGTCATACTTACGAATCAGAATAGCAAACATTTAGAATTGATAGTCAAGAAGTGGAGAAATGTGTTAAAACAAGCGTTTTCATACTTTATTGGTAGAAGAACAGAACGATGGGTTTTCTATAGTGTATACACAAGGATATGTGCAAGGATGATGACTACAGCATAATTTCTAATTATAAAGAAGGAAATACACTACACGCAGATGATTAGATCAATGAGACCATTCTGGAGGGAAAAAAAAATGCACCAGAGAACAGTCTGCATGAAACAATCCTCTTTATGGAAAGAAACCCTATGTACAGTGTATATCACTCTAAACTTTTTGCATATTTTAACTTCTTTAATCCTCAGAAAAATTTTGAGATAGATACTAATATACCCTCATTTGACAGATTGAAAAAGAGGCACAGAGATTGTGATGTGCACAAAGTCACAGAGATGAGAAGGGATTCAAACTAAGTGGCTGGTTTCCTCCTTCCTTTTTACTTCTTTTCTCAATTTCATTTTCTATTCTCCTCCCTTCCCATCGCCTCTTCCTTCCTCCCACGTATCTCTTCTCTTACTAAATCTTCAAGTGTCTGTTGCCTGAGTCATGGGAAGAAAAGGGGAGAGAAGGTGCAGAAGGTACGTTTTGCTTTTCTCCATATTCAGCTTTATTGTTTGGAAGATCCTGTGTTACTTTCGTAAATAAGATATTTTAAAGAAAAAAATCAATGAATCCTTCAGTTCAGTTTAACAAATATTTGTTTATTGAGCCTGTTTGCCAGTCGGGGGAGGGTGAGAAAAATTAAACATTCTAAACACATCTAGTCAGTTTGACTCTTAAAAGTTGTTAACAGCGTTTGGGGGAGAATGAGGGATTGGGAGAGGAAGAGACAGAAGGAAAGACAGACAGAATGAGAGAGTGAGAGAGAATGACAGAGACAGAAACAGGGCGGCAAAGACTAAGAGAGCTAAAGAGAAAAAGCACCAGGAAGAAAAACAAGCTTGACTCCTCCTCATTTGTACTCTGAACCGCCACTGCTCTCAAGCTTTGAAAGCAACAGAAATCTAAGGGATGTAGTTAAGGACAGAAAGACGGAAGTTCCCGAGAATTTAGTGCCCACAACCCCACCCCAACGGCGGCCACTCCGGCGCTTGGCGACCACAGGTAGGAACCGGGAAACGAAACCGAGAGAGTTTCGCGGCGCCGAGGTCGTTGGGAGGTTTCCGTACCTCGCCTCGAGGCAGCATCCGCACAGCGGCAGCCACAGGTGGGTGCGCACGTGGCGCGGGAGCCGCGTGGGTTCCCAGGCAGGGTGCGCGGCGCTGGGGGCGACTAGCGGGGGGCGGGGCGCGAGGGCTGGCGGGCTGTGCTTGCGCTGGGTGCGTGAGTAGACGGTGACGGTCGGCGTCCCGGCGGCCCCAGGGAGCGACCCCGGAAGCAGAGCGGCGACTCGCGTGGGGCCCTCTTTGGCCCGGCAGGTGTCTCCTGCCCGAAACCTCCTTGCAGGCTCAGTGCCCCTGTTAGTACAGTACACCTCTCCGGCCGCGCTGAAGAACCCGGCAAGAACCTGATCCGTGGGTATCCGCCAGTTTACTGGGAAGGGGGTATTAGAAGGGTATTAATAGACCCTCTTAGCTGTCATTTAACAGTAAGTATTAATTAGGTGTATGGATGGACCCCAAAACTGTGCTAGCCACTCTGGAGCACCAGATGAATTGGAAAGATAGAGGTGGTTTATAGCTTAGAGGCTAAGTCCATTAGTTCAGGAGTCCACCTGCCTGATTTGAATCCTGCCTCTACTACTTAATTTCTGTGGACTCAGAACCAGTTTCTTCATCTGTCCTCCTTGCCTCATCTTTGTGTGTAAAGATCAAAAAGGAGTTACAGTTAGAGTTAGAATATGGTATATATTAGTGTAAAGCTAATGGAGCTGTGTCTAGCACTGCTCCAAGTACTCCGTAAGGTTAGCTTTTAATATTTTTAATAGTAAAATCCCTGCTTCTCCAAGATTATTATCTGCTTCCCATGTGGTTTTATTTATACAGCTATTCCTGGAAGTCCTAGAATGTCTATTTCCCAGTTCCAAAAACAGGCAGGCATTGTTTCTCCTAATTTAGCAGTTTGAGAAACATTAGTACGAGTGTCACTTAGTGGGGATTGTTAATCAATTCATGATTTCCTATTTCATCATTTAACTTTCTTAACAGCGGAAGTTTCTCTTAATACCATGCCTGCAAGTACGACAACTGCAAGGCTTTGAACACTGAATAGATGCAAGGAATGAAGAATACATGAAAAGGGAAATGAGTGGGTGTCTGCTGTTGGATAGAAAAGTGACATGTAAAATAAGTGGCTGGATCAGAGACTAAGCAACCTTCACATTTGTAAGGGAGCTGTTCCTTGTGACCGAAAGGAGTGAAATAATACTGTACACATCTTGTTCAGTCAACAAACACCCATTAAGTGCCTTGTCCTGGACAAGACAGGCCATATTCTGGCCCTTAAGATCATAGAATGCAGGTAGAGAGACATTAAATGAGTAAGAACTGACCCTGTACACTTCTCTATCCTCACGTCTGATGATCTCTCCCTCTTTTTTCTGTAATCCACAAACCTCTCATTTCCTTAAGTGAGTCAAGCTCCCTCTAGCCACAGGCCTTCTACCTGTTCCCTCCTCACTTCCCCAACCCCCACCCATGGCCTGGCTGATTTTAGACTTCTTTTGGCTCTCAGATTCAATGGAAGTTAGGGACATAGAATTCTGTCATTGTCTCTAGAGCAGTAACATTTTGCTAAAATAATTCAGAACATATATCCACATCTTGGGACTCAGAAAAATGTTAACTGGTTTGTTCTTAAACAATTAAGAAGTAAATGTGGATAAATAATTCAAATCTAGTTTGTGCCTAGTTTATAGGCATAGTAGTCTTAGGATCTTCCAAAATTAGGGATGCTTCCCTTGGGTTCCCGATTGTACATTAATATTTTTTAAGCAATAAGATAGAAATTTCAGGACCCCAAGAGATGGGTCTAGGATTTCACTGTAATATGAGTTGTGGAGCCATGACTGATGTCACTTGCAATATTTCTCTTCCCTGATGGAAGAGGTTTATAATTTTCAAATAGCCCAGAGCAGCAATGGGCCTTATGGTGTCTGACAGAATAATTTTACCAGAGATACACATAAATGAATAGAGAATATGATGCACTAATCTCCTCAGAAGCTCTCATTTAGCAGAATTAGGAAGAAGTGTGTGGTAATCATGTTATAATTTGAAGTTATATATTTGTCCTGAAGTAATTAAGATTCCAGTGGTACAATATATTTGACTTCCTTAGAGACTTTTTTTCTTTTAGTACAGGATAAATATGGTGTTCTCTTTCTTGGAAGTTTTTCTAGGATTTGTTTCTTAGGAAGAGTAGTGGGGGCATTATTTAATTAATTAATTCACCCAGGACTCAGCCTAGTCATTTCCAAAACTGAGAGGCATTACCTCTTGTTAATAGACCCTTAAGTTTGAGAAAAATCAAAAGATCTTTAAAACAGCAAACAAGAGTGGACAGGGTAACATGGTGAGTATCATCCTTATTCCACAAGTGCTTTATTTTACCTGGCCCACATACAGGTACAACTGTCACTTAACATTTTATACCTGAACTTACACCATTTTTCATGCTTGGGATACTGTGTAATTGCAAAGATTCTAAAACCTACAGCACAATGAGGACCCAGATTTTGTTTTGTAGTAGTTTTGCCATGAGGGATTTATTCTCACAAATCTGTAGTTTAAGACTCAAAATATGTAACCAAATAGGAAAGAAAAGAACAAATATGGACAAATAAGCTCTGCTTTAGAGTCTCTTTAGTTTCCTTTCCTTGGATCTCTGTACAAGAGGTTTTGCCTTATGTGTTAATTGTAAGTAGCAGGCAGAAAGGGGGTTGGGATTTTAAGTGGAGAAATCAGGGGAAAAGGGTTCAAGGAGCTGGAAGGTAGAAGCACTGAATGCAATGTTTTTATTATTGTTGTTGTTGTTATTATTATTTTTTGTAGAAATAGCCAAACACAAAGTTTTGGTCCAATTGTCATGATGCTGCAGCTATGACAACCCCTGAGAGTGGGTTCTCTGGCTAAAAGTGTATTTTGAAACATAGAACAAAGGCTCAGGCCTTTTCAGATTTACTGTTCAAGTTGGGCAGAACATATCCACAGAACTTGGAATCCCCTGGTATTTGCAGTAGTGTGATCCGATAGCTAACCCGTCTGTCCTGGTGAACCATGTCTAGAGCCCAGACCTAAGGCTGGATGCTGGATCACACACTCCTTTTGTATAGATTGTAAGGTTCCAGTTTTGGAGTTTAATTTGGTTGCAATGTGGAGTCTTAAGATCACAGTGTTTTCTTTTTGGCTTTCTGCCTCATAGGACCCTCTCTCCACAAAGGTTTGTAGAAAATGTCTACCATCCTTGGGTGACCCACAACTTCTTAAGTTGTACTCAGAACCACATCAAGGGGGAATGGGATCAAGACCAAAGGGTTTAAATGACCATTCTGGTAGATGAGATGAATAGAAGAATATCCTATGTGTATGTATAGTTTCAGAATATCTTGTTTCAATAGTCATATTTGGCCTATAAATTTGTAGACAATGTAGTAATATCAGGTCTTCTTTTTCAGAGCTCTTTAAATCATGGAAAAACAAAGTAAGTAATTTAAGTGTTTACTTTCGTTTTATAATGTTAAATCTGTTGTTAATACGTTCTTTGTCATAGTGTTTTATTCAGTTTCTGAAAAGATGTAATTTCCTTTGTTTTGTTTATGCTTCAGAACCCAGAGTCTAGTTCATTGTTTTGACTGTAGAGACAATCTACACATATATCCACTATCACTAAGTTTTCCTCTAAAAATAAAAAAAAAAACTTAGATAAGCCTAAGGAATTTTAGTCTTACTGGGAAATATGTTATATAATTTATACTATATTCCATCTAGATCAGTTTTTCCCTTTTAATATGCATTTTATATACATAAACATTTAACTCAGATTAACAGACAATAAATTTAATATGTCAGTCCATTGTAGTAAAATCTTCAGATATATCCTTGCTATATATTTCATAACATTCAGATGTGAACAGGTTTAAATGAATACCAATCGTATGTTATGGCTTTTTACTATCAAGAAAATTCTAGGGGTGCCTGGGTGGCTCAGTCGGTTAAGCGGCCAACTCTGGATTTCAGCTCAGGTCATGATCTCAGAATCATGGGATCAGGCCCCTCATTGGGCTCCATGCTTAGCATGGAGTCTGCTTTCCCTCTCCCTCTGCTCTTCCCCTTTCTCTCTCTGTCTCTCTCTTTCTATCTCTCTTGTTCTATCTCTAAAATAAATAAATAAATAAACAAACAAACAAACAAATAAATAAATAAATCTCTAAAAAAAAAAGGAAAATTCTAAATAAGATGGGTATTGACCAAACATATAATAAAAGACTTTGTCTTTTTTTAAAATCTAAAGTTCTGAAGAGAAAAACAGTACATATGGGGGAAAGTGTGAAAAACAAAATCCTGTTTTGTGAGAAGATTTATATTCTGTTTATTTTTGTTTAGATACCAAAGAGACATTTATCTCTCACCACAGTGTCAGCCTTGCTAGATACATTAGATACTCTGTAGGACTAGAAACCTCAGCTTTCCTTCATGAAGTTTCATGATCTTCTCTTAATGTTTGCTATATTAATTTAATTTTACTTACAAAACTTTTTAGATGTACATTGATACAGTATTACACTGCTATATCTGCTGCAGCATTAGGATGCTTCAGATCACCTTAGAAACATTCTTTTGGCCAAGGTCATAGTCACCTTTTAACTCTTCATCTTCATATATATAATTGTGTGTGTGTGTAAATGTGCATAAATAGAAATAAAATGTATGTAAGTATGTAAATATATATAGAAGTAAAAATTAATTTTCTTTATAACATGACATTCCTATGATATCTGTAAATTATTTTAAGTTCCATTTCACAAATGCAGAAATCCATTCATCATTCATATGCTCTTTGGTCTATTTAATCACTTCCCCATTTGCTTGTTTTCCCTTTATATGAATTTCTGCTGAAATTCCGAAAACTAGGATCAACACTCTGGAGCCAAAACCTCAGAGATTATGAGCTTCTAATTTCTTGAATCTATCAGCTCCCAGATATGTATGTGTATTTACTATTGTTCAAATAATGGTACCTATTAAGAGGTGCCAAATGTGACATATCCTTCAAGAGGAGATCTGTTAGTCAGACTTGCAGTGTGTTTTCTTGAGATCTGGTAAGTGTGACCCCACTCAGGTTGGGAGTGGGAGCTGTGGGCAGGGCCTTGAGAGCTAGAGAACTAAGAGGTAGGCCACCCACTTGAAGCCAACAAACAAGGGAATGGTTGGGATGGAATGACCTGTGGTAATTCAGAGATCTGTAATAAATCAGGGTATGTTGCACTATCTGTTCAGAGAAAAGCCCAGATGGAAGTAGAGGATTCTTTGTTACCTGAATTTGCACAGTCTCCATGGACTCCATTCTGCTGAAGGTATTATGAAACCAATTGAATGGAGGAGGACGGTGGCTCACAATCCAGCTTTCCTGCTGAAACCACATGAGTTGAGTGGTCTTTGAAGGCCTGTGGTAAAGAAGTACATAGAAAATATATCAGATTGAAAGTTTGACTTACTTTTTCTTCTGTATTAATGCCATGCCCTCATCATTCAGTAAGAAACTATTTTGAATTTATAGTTAGCAAGCCATAATGAAACATGGTTTAAGTGTAGTGTCCACTAGACCATAAGTTGCCTGAAGACAGAGGCAGTATAGCCTCAGAGCTCAACTCAGAGGCAAGATAGGAGGTGTTCAACAAATATTTATTGTCTGACTGGGATGGCTACTAAATAAGTGACTAGAAAACATAAATATGAAGAACTAGGAGGTTCAACGAAGTTTAATATGTTAGATTTTTGTAATTCAGTCAGTTATGATTTTTGTAGGTCAAAATCAGTCAAATATTAGGAATTTCCTATGGTTCAACCTTATTGGGGTAGTTGCAGAGTAAGCATAAAAAGGATATTGAAATACTGAAATGTATGCATTATTTTACATATTTTTAAAATAATTCTTACAGGAGTAATTATAGATATCTTTGAAATCATCCATAATCTTTCCATTACGATCCCTACATCTTTCTTCACTGTATGTGGTTTTAAAACACTGTTTTCCTAATACCAACAGAATCAAAATATGGAAGCAAACATTGATCAGGCGTATTTGAAAACTAGAAATTCAGCCCCAGCCACTCAGCTGTCTCATTTTATCCAAAAAGGAATTTGTTTGAAACAGGATTCTACTGCAAATTAAGTCTGATGGCAAGCATTGCTTTTGTTGAGTGAAGAGTTCACTTTACCAATTTTAGTACAGCACAAGATCATATAAATGAAAATTATTTAAGGACAATGTATTTTTCTTTTTAAGGACAATGTATTTTTCTTTCTGACATATATTTTATTAAAGTAGATATATGTTTACCTCTCCCTGAATTGCAGGTGGGCAAATGAATGCTCCTCATCCAGGAACAAATTTACCGCCTGGACATCTCCCTGAATATCCTTCAGCAGCATTCCAAGGTAAAACATTTGTTTAAAGAACAAAAACTCCCAATTTTTCAATTATTGATATTCCCCAAAGGATATATGTGTCTGCCCGTGTGTGTATATTTTAGTAGTGTCTTTGACTAAAAGTGCAATAATGAAATTGGCAGCCTAGTTCTTAGTTTTTTTGCTTGACTATGTATTATCATAAACAACACGAATATAATTTTTACTTATACAGGATAATAAAGATGTAGAGTCAATAAAAACAGTAGTGAGTTTACATTTAGCAAATAAAGTTTGACATAAATTAAACCGCAAAATATACATTTTAAGTAAAAGATTTCATTGATTCTTTATCTCTGAAAATTGTCATCATGCACATAGGAGATTTATCCCTGAGTATTTTTGAGTCAGATATTAGCTGAGGGTAATTGTGTACAGTGAGGGTCACAGAAAAGAGGTGACTGCTTAAAACTGGAAGCTGTAAGTAATAAAAATGCAGCTACCTGGGGATAATTCTCATTTTCATTTTGTATTTGCTTTTGTATACATCCTGAATCATGCCTTACATCTAAGAAAAGCAGTTGAATCATATCACTCCATACTAGGGAATACATTTTTCCCTTTGAACCAATGAATAGAAGACTTAAGAGATTTTCATTTAGACAAATGCAGTTATCAAAATTACTAGAACTTTACTAAATGGCAAAGTTCATGGTGTACCCAGATTTACAATTAGTCTGGCTACTACCATCTTGAGACCATCCTAGGGATTTAGGATCAAAAGGAATCAGGTTTGGACAGAAAGGTGTATCTAGTTTGTTTTCTCCTCTGAGCAAATAAATCTGCTTTGGAACTAAATGGCCTCTTTAATTGTCTAGCCAAAAATTTTGCAGTAGGGCCTGGATCTCATCCAGATGTTTGCAGTTATAAGAATGTGAGCTAGAAAATCTCTAAGGTTATAGTTCTCAAGAGTGCCTGCACTTAAGTAGTACTTGGAAGCTCTTAAAAACACTATACCAGGGCACTATCCCAGGAAAATTAAAGCAGCTCAGGTAGTGGGACCCAAGGATTAGTAATTTTTTTAATTTCCCAGGTAATTCTAATGTGCAGCCAGGGCTGAGGATTGCTGCTCTAAATTTTTATATGATGACTGAAGAATTATTAGCAAGCTGTAATATTCATCCAAGGCACTTGGAGAATGATTTAATCCACCCCACAGATAATTAAAAGTGGGTGATACATAATTAAATTCAGTTATAATCAGACTTGAGAGTTCGTGAGAAAAATAGCTTAATTTTATTTCTCAAGTCCAAGGCCACATATAGTTCAGGTCTTAATATGACAATGATGCTAACAGTAGGGATAGTTTAAAATTGAGAGCTCACTGTGCATAATGTGGATTAACTCATTTAATTTTCAATCTTATGAGGTCAGTACTATTGTCCCCACTATGCAGGTGGGAAAAAGGCATAGAGAGGATGTATCAGGCTTCAAGTTCTGGCCTCTATACTTAATAGTTGTATGATGGTTCAAACAAGTTGCTCTATACCTCTAAGCCTCAGTTCTTTTTTTTTTTTTTAAGATTTTATTTATTTATTTGAGAGAGTGAGAGAGAGAAAGCATGAGCCAGCGGCAGAAGGAGAGGGGGAGGGAGAAGCAGACTCCCCGCTGAGCAGGGAGCCCAGTGTGGGGCTCTATCCCCCCGACCCTGGGATCACTACCCGAGCCAAAGGCAGATGCCCAACAGACTGAGCCATCCAGGCACCCTAAAGCCTCAGTTCTTATCTATAAAATGGGGCTAATATTTTCCAATTCAGTTTTGTTTGGAGATTGAATGAGAGTATATGTAAAACACCTAGTACAATGATTTACAAATAATAAGTGACAAATATTTGTTGACTATTATACTAATAATGTATTAAATCAATTGGACTTTATACAAATGAAAATATTATCCAAATTTCAGGTAATTCTGTATGCTTAATTCATTGATTTGTGAATAATCAACTATCCTCTCCAAGAGTCTTGAGAAGATTGAAATACGCTAATAATGTAACCTATTAACTCATATATCCCCATTTGGTTTGCCTGTGATCTGATCTTTGCACTGTAGCCAGTGATCTTTAAAAATGCATATCTGTTCATGTTACAGTATTCAATGTGTGTACATCATTGGCTTTTTGTTGCTTTCATGATAAAGGCCAGAATGCTTGATTTGGTTCACTAGACCTGAGGGGCTCCCCTGCATTCTCTTTAACTGTCTGTTAAGCCTGACTCTCTGCTATTCAAGTCGATGTGCCTTTTCACAGATGAGTAGAAACCCTGTTTGTGTTGCTGTCCCAGGGCTTCTCCCTGAAACCTTTTTCCCTATGCCCCTGGTTTACTCAACTCCTTTGTATCCTTTAGATCTCAGCTGAAAGGTGGTCCTCAGGGAAGCTGTCCCAACTCCCTCCTTTTCTCTCTCCCCATCCCAACACTTTCTTTTGGCATATATAGTCATAAAAATCTGGTCCCTTCTTTCAAAGAGCTTGTCTTCGACTCTTGTTAATCAGCTGATCATACTGGTGTTGTGGATCCCTAGAGTAAAGGATAAATATAAAGTTATCTTCCCCATTAGGCAGTGAGGGAAGGGATTGCATCTGCATTTCTCATTTTAAATCCCAGTGCTCAGCACTCCTAAAAACTTTGTAAGATATAAATCGGATTATGGAACTCATTTGTGTGCTTAAAACCCTCAAAGGCCTGTCAATCACACTTGGAATAAAATCTAAACTCCTTATGAATGGGCTCCCTAGATGAACTGCTCCTATTTCTTCACTGATAGCAGTTTCTACTCTTCCTCTCCTTTATGATGTTTCTCTCTTTCTCAAACATGCCAAATTTATTCCTAAAGTTGAAGATTTTTGCATTTGGTTTTCCTTCCTCTTGAACGTTTCTCACCAGATCTTTACATAAAGCTTTTCCTTTCTCATATTTTAGATCTCAACAGAGTTTTTTTTTTTCTATCTAAAGTAACTAGTTGATACCTTTCCCTCTCTACCATGCATTTTCTCTATGAGTTCAATCTGAAATCTTTTAAAAAGAATTTATTTACTTTTTCCCAAAAGTTGCCCTATAAGCATCCTGAGGACAGGTTGCCTTGTTGATAGCTGTGTCCTCTGATTCTAGACCAGAGCCAGTCACATTGTAGAACATTGGTAAATATTTATTTATTCTTTTTTTTTTTAAATAGCTGATGCTTTTTTTTTTAAGATTTTATTTATTTATTTGAGAGAGAGAGAGAACAGAGGGAGTGGGAGAGGGGGAAGCAGACTCCCCACTGAGCGGGGAGCCCGATGAGGGGCTCGATCCCAGGACCCTGAGATCATGACCTGAGCCGAAGGCAGACGCTTAACCGACTGAGCCACCCAGGCGCCCCGATATTTATTTATTCTAAGAAGGAATGAATGATAAAAACTATATTTAAAAGGTATTAGTATGAGATTTAGTCTGTCTTCTAAATCTTTTTATAATGGTATATGTATTTTGCCATCAGTGTTTTTTTTAAAGTATTTATAAATTATATAATCTAAGAATAAATTTTACATAGCCTTTCCTGTTAAAATATTATGGAACACATTCCTTTGAAATTATATTCCATTGCTGTGGGATTGCTACTCTGTGCACTATTCATGTAAGCTTATGAAGCTTCATTGTAATCACAGATTTACGTGGAATACAGAATATATACCTATTAAATTTCTTCCTCTCCTGTGCTTATTAAATACCTAGGACAAGTTTGCCTATTGTAACTTTTTCCCTTCCTTGGTTCTCAAATTGTATTTTTCAGAGTGCTGAGAGCAGTAAATTATGAAATTTAAATTTGTAACCTACTATCATAATGGATTTTTTTTTTTTTCTTGTAGGAGGTCTTAGGACAGGAATGTGCCATGGGTTAAAAGTTCAGGCCAACTGTTAACCCAGATAAGCACCTGGACAATAGTGGAAGTAACAACATGCTTTTACCTCTATACCAGAGTTTCTCAACAGCAGCACTATAATATTTTGGGATGTATAATTCTTTTTTTTTCAGGGCACTTTCTGGCATTTCAGGAAACATTTAGCAGCATTACTGGCCCTCCAACTACCAGATGCCAGTATCACCCTCTGTTCCAGCTGAAACAACCAAAAATGCTCCAGACCTTGCCAAATATTTCTTGAGGGGATAAAACCCCCTGTAGTTCTTTACATAAGGGAGGTACTGTTTCCTACAATTCCAGAATTATCATATTTTTATAGAGTGCTTTGGTTTTAGAAATGCTGACTCAAAGCCTTTATTTTGGGCCTTTGACACAATGACATCTCTCTTTTCTATTGAAGTATTCCAGACTCTTTATGTAGGTGACTCTAGATCATTGTTAATTTCCTGTCACTTTCTTAGGTTTCAAGAGTATTTTCAACTGAGTTTGAACAGTGGATAAAGCTTGGGCCAACTCTATTCACAGTCCCAAGCCCTGTAGGAGTGGATATGAAACCACAGATATTTCATTGAAAATTTGCCGAAAGATAAAAACACAACATTTAAGCTTCATAGAAACAGGATTTCTGAGCTAAAATTTCAGTTTGCAGAGTTTTAGGAGTAATCCCAAAAGAATTCATGTTTCATTTTCTGTGCAGTTACAAATTACTTCACCTGTTTCTATTTCAGGACCTCCAGAACATACTGGCTACCCTGGCCCCCAGGTTGGCTACCCTGGCCCCCAGGTTGGCTACCCTGGCCCTCAGGCTGGCTACCCTGGCCCTCAGGCTGGCTATCCTGGCCCTCAGGCTGGCTACTCAATTCCACCAGCTGGTTATTCAGGTGCTGGCCCAGTAGGCTTTCCTGTCCAACACCAGCCAGTGTATAATCAGCCAGGTGGACCTGCAGGGGTACCATGCATGCCAGAACCACCACCTCCATTAGACTGTCCACCTGGATTGGAATATTTAAGTCAGGTAATTTCAAATAAATGAAACACTCATAAAAAATAAAACTATCCTTATAGTTCGCTTAATAAAATTAACAAATGATTAATTCACAAAAGTCTGAAATGATAAAACAACATTTAATGCTGACAAATTACTATACTTCTAGGTGAAGTTTACTTTTAAAGTGAAATACAAATATCTTAGGAAATTGTGTTTTCTATGATTTTTGAATATAATCTGTGGTAATGGCCAATAACAAACCTTTATTAAGCACTATTTTCCAGACTTTGTTCCTAAGTATAACACATGTATTAACTTATTTAATCCTTTTAGAAGCTCTATGATATATAGGTGCTAATATTATCATCATTTTACACAAGAGGAAACTGAGGTCCAGAGAAGTTATATAATTGACTCAGAGCCAAAACACTAAGAAAGTGGGAATGGCTTTTACTTCTAGAGCCTTGGTTCTGGATCTCACTGTCTTTAATCCCAACACCAAATAACTTCCTGGAAGGTGAAAAGAAACATTAAACTAAATTTGGTGTTGAGTGTCAATAAGTGGTACCAAAAACAAAGAGTTAATATTTTGTGTATAACATGATACACTTTTTATTATCATTAATAAAACTGTATTTTATGATGCTTTGCTCTTTGGAAGAACCAATTTTATTAACGCCACAAGTAAGAAAAAAAAAATCCTGGATTTTGGTGTACTGCATGATACCATATCCTAGCAATGTGAGCGTTAGTATTTGCCCAGTGTTGGAAATCTGGTAGGTAGAGTAGGAATATGAAATCCTATGTGTCTGATCAATAAACAAATAAATATATTCCTGTGGTAACCAACCAGTTTTCAGTAAATGAATTGGCTCTCTTGTACTCTCTGTACTAATTTAATTTCCCACAATGCACTTGGGCAGCATGTATTGTAAGAACTTTTTGTAGTTCATATATTCTCTGACAAATACCTTAAACAGATTCTTTTTAAAATCAAGGCCTTACAGAATGTATAGGGGAAGTTATTACCTGCTCCAAAAGATGATATCAAGCACACTTCAAATTTTTTTTTTAGATTTGGAAAGAATCTCTTCAAATGGATAAAGAGTCTTAATATTTCTTAAGTCTTTTCAAGAAGGAACTTTAAAAAAAAAAATTTAGAGGGATTCCAGTGTAAGTCAATTTTATTTGACCTGAATTTGCCCACATTAATAGTGAACACATTCGATGATTGTTTTTCAATTAAAGATATATTAATTTTAATTCTATACCTTTTTAGGTATAAAAGTTTAGAAGTAAGTATGCTATTATTAAATATTGATAAATATTGATAATTGATTATATGCATTCCTTAAAATATAAAAGCACTAATATTAATTTGGTTGGTGTAGAAAGCATGGAAATATAGCTTAATTTTTTTTTTTTTTTTTTTTTTTACTGTAATAGATAGATCAGATACTGATTCATCAGCAAATTGAGCTTCTGGAAGGTATGTATTCATTGTATTGATCATATTTCTAGAAAGAGAAGATGTTTATACAGATAAAGGCGTATCAGCAACCACAAATGTAACTCTTTTACTGATTATTTATAAATGTCTCTCTTCATGATAATGAAATGGTGGTAATTATCAGTAGCTCATTTCTGCAAATTAGGAGTCAACCGGTAAAATACTATTATTCTGAGCATCTGTTCTCATGCTACAGACCCTAACTTACAAGGAAACCAATCAAAACTTACTTTTTCTCCCACTTCTCTCTAGAAACCATTTCAGCTGTTTTCTCCCCAGCCTATGATGATCTTGATATTGACACAGAACCAAATGCACTAGTTCAGTTACCTTAGTACATTTCTAAAGCAAGTAAACTTCTTCAGTTTGGATGGGTATGTTTTGGAAAATTGTATTCTTGCCCACAATTTTTTTTTAAGATTTTATTTATTTGAGAGAGGAGGAGAGGCAGTGAGAGAGTACAAGCTGGGAGGAGAGGGAGAAGCAGGCTCCCTGCCGAGTGGGGAGCCCGATGCGGGGCTGGATCCCAGGACGCTGGGATCATGACCTGAGCCGAAGGCAGACACCCAACCGAGTGAGCCACCCAGGTGCTCCTCTTGCCCACAATTTTTATTAGGAGTTCATATGAACCCTGTAAGACCCCTGTTCTGTGGGCTGTGGATTATCACCTTGGGTACAGAGCTAATGCAGTGTTGGAGGATGCTGACCAGCAGACCTGGAGGCCTGGCTTCTTAGAACAGCACTCCTGCTCATGTGAATGGCCAATAAATATTTCCTTGGGTACATCACTCCTGAGATGCAAGGTAAACTTAGGAAGCCACTAGATATTTCAGGATTCTTGCCAGGGAAAAGAGAACCTGGATGGATTCATGAACTGTGGTGTCTTTCTTCTAGATATAAAGAGTTTAATGAACATTCATCTAGTTTTTAGAATATATCTGTTAAGTCCTTCTTCACCTCTCTGCAAAGTCCCTTTCCACTGGTAGAAATTGTAACATCAATTTTAAGAGTAGAGCAATAGATGTGGTTAGAATGTATAGTTGCTGCCTATTTTATTTAAATTGCTTATCCTGTACACTGTTAGATATTTATAGTGTTCTCGTTTTTGTTAGTTTGTTTATACTAACTTTTCTCTGTGAAGTTGTTCTTTGATAATTTGTACTTTGAATTTTTTAATGTTTTAAGAAATTTATTTTTGACATTATAAAATCAAACCAAACCAAAACAGACACTGTACATTAAACAGCATTCCATTTATAGTTTTTAAATGTACAACTTTTATATATATATTGGTGAAATATGTATGTATTGATCATGAAAGGTAAATTCCAAATTTAGTAGTTCTTAATTCTTTAGTTTTCTAAAAGTGATGTCTTTAATTTTCTTGTTTTCTTTTCATCTCAATGAAAGTGCATATTGTGGGCGCCTGGGTGGCTCAGTCGTTAAGCTTCTGCCTTCAGCTCAGGTCATGATCCCGGGGTCCTGGGATCGAGCCCCGCATCGGGCTCTCTTGCTCAGCGGGAGGCCTGCTTCTCCCTCTCTCACTCCCTCTGCTTGTGTTCCCTCTCTCGCCTTGTCTCTCTCTGTCAAATAAATAAATAAAATCTTAAAAAAATAATTAAAAAATTAAAAAAAGAAAGTGTATATTGTAAGATTATGGTAGCCTAAAGAGATGAAGATTACTCCATTTATTTTTAGCATCTGAGTGTACGACAGGCACTTACACACTTACCAAGTCAAAACTTCATAGACAATAATGATGACCATAGAGATCTTTTGTTTTCTTCTCATTTTTTGAGTAACTAGAAGGTAACTTGGAGATTGTGTAAACACATTGATCTCATTTTACAGATAAACTAGCTGAAGAAGTTTGAGATTAAACTACTTAAGGAAACACTCAGATAATAGATTTCATGTTATGAATCAGTTTAATTTTTTTTCTCATAAAAAATGTGACTGTCAGATGTTGAGGTCAAGGGTGGTTCTTTTAAAGAAAAAGTCCAAAGCCTGTCTGAGCCAGAGCAAAGGCACTTAAGGGAGGTCATGATGATAGAATTTATGAAGTACATCTCTATCTGACTAAAAGTATCCACACAGACATTAGAGAGTGTTTTTTGTCCCATATATATCTTTTAATCATTATTTTGGTAGCCTGACATCCCATGACCCACGTTAATGAGGACTATAGACTAGTGGGACCATTAGTTGTTCCTTTCTGGCTCTAAGCACGGAGAGGTTTGCAATGTGTGATTCAGTATGGGAAGCCCATTGATAAGATATCACATGGGCATCAGCATTTAGCATACCTCTGTCTCCCTGTGAAGAGATTAGCCCCCTCTAGAGTAGAGAGCTTACTTAGGATGCCAGTGGTCCACATAGCCTATGAGTTGGAGCCTTGGTTGCCAAGCTCCTCTTCCCGTTGTCTAGTACCGATCTCCCACTTCTGAGTAACTACTGCTGAGCTAAACAAGGGTGTTCTGGGTCTAATGTGATGTTCTAATTCACCTTCCATTTTCACCCTCTCCCTTTCTACATGTGTGCATTAAGAGTAAGCCCTCTCATTACCTTCCCTCACACAGTGCAAAAACATAAGCCATGAATATGGTATATAAAAAAATTTATTTGATAGAATATTTCATAAGAGTGTAAACGTAGCAACCATCCCCTACGTAATTGAATATATGAAAACTATACCTGTGGATATTTTCTGCATACACCTAGCACAACTAAGACTATTGCACCATCCCTCAGCAGCAGTCTGACTTTCTGACATTTCTGTGGAATTAGGCAGATATGAGTTGTTTTCTGTTCCATGTATCACATAGGGACTCTTCATTTCTCTATGCCTTAACACCCTCTCTTTCTTCTTTCCTTTCCCTTCTATCCTCTGTCTAGATCATCTCTAAACACCTTTCCTTTTCTTTCTTCCTGTGTTACTTGAAGTATCATCTGAAAATGGCATAACTACATATTATAGTATCTTAGGATAGATTCATTATTCTTTTAGCATAATGGTCATAATGATTTCCTCTTTTATGTTTGTAGTCTTAACAGGTTTTGAAAGTAATAACAGATATGAAATTAAAAACAGCTTTGGACAAAGGATTTACTTTGCAGCAGAGGATACGGATTTCTGTACCCGAAATTGCTGTGGGGCTTCTAGGCCTTTTACCATGAGGATTCTTGATAATATGGGCCGAGAAGTTATAACTCTGGAGAGACCACTAAGGTGTGGCAGCTGTTGTTGCCCCTGCTGCCTTCAGGAGGTCAGTGAGCAATTACCAGTGTCATTTGTAAAGTAGGTCAGCAAGGATTTTTACCCTTTCATTGAATTATGTAATCAAATGAGATTTAAAGGAAAATTGGTCCATAAGCTCTTAGTTTATACTTGAGAGTAAATTGTCCAAGAAGAAATGCAGTGGAAAACAATGAACAGTTAGCCCCATGGCCATGAGTAGTGTGTCTCATGAGGTTGAGATCAGCGATCTCAGAGACGAGGCTTCTTGATCTTCATGGAGAGCTAAGAAGGTAGCGCAAGTTCCTGACCTACAAGGAACATGAAAAGCCTGGCCAAAGCCAGAGCAGTGAGACCATAGAGAATATCCTAGAATATCCTACATGTGTTCATCCCACAGTTTGGGCCAACCTTGCAGAGAGGCCCTCTCTGAAAAATTTCAGTGCCTGTTTTTTTATATATCCATAGAAATTATGAATGTATTTGAGCCCCCTATAAGAGTATACACTAGTTGTGAGTACCTTTAGCTCCATAAAGACCAGGTGTCTATTTCATTTACTTGGCAGCCCACTAATAGAGAATGTGGATCTCAGGGGAGATGCTGGGGCACAGAGAGTTTATAGGGAAGTTGATTTTTGCCTGTGTCTCCATTGGCCTGAGACCAGCCCTGCCAGAGCCACTCAGTCATTCCACAGAGAGAGTTGTGCTAGCCTGACAGACACAGTTACAAGCACATGAATATTTGAAATCTAGTACTGTACATATTTTAAAAGGTTAATTGAAGTTATTCATGCTGAATTATTTACTTTCCATATCATTTAGGTTAGATATAGTAATATTTATCCAGGAATATCTGAGGAAAAACTGGGAGTTTGATGTAATATGCTCTACAATATAAAGTGTACATTAACATATATTACACTATTGTAAAAAACAGAGCTAGGAAGTCATTTACTGATGAGCACACTGAGGCACTTTCAAGGTCACCTAGCTAAGTAGCAGAGCCAAGATTCCAGGCTTCATTTTCTTTCCATTTTGGCACCATTGCTACTCATATTTAGTAACTGTACCACTGACCAGAGCTGTGTTCCTACATCTAAACCACGGTTTTTAAAAAAAGTTTAAGAAAAGAGTTCATTAACAATTTAGACATTTTTCATAAATATGGAGATTAAAAAATGTACAAAGGCCAGTGGAGCAAAGCCTTAGTGGAGACGATGCATGCAGCCTGCCCAGGTTTGTACCTCATCTTTTCTTCTTTGTAGTTGGGAATCTGATACAAGTTAATTCACTTCTCTGCTCCTCAGTTACTTTCTCTATAAATAGGGATAATAGTACCAGCCTTTTAGAGATGTGTTATGAATTAAGTGGTGCTTAAAACAGTGTCTGACACTTCAAAAGTATTCAATAAACGAGTTATTACTAAACATTATACTTATTATGACTTATATATATTCTCTCGCTTTTATAGATAGCAATCTATGCTCCTCCTGGTGTACCTATAGGTTATGTTACGCAGATCTGGCATCCGTGCCTGCCAAGGTTTACAATTCAAAATGAGAGGAGAGAGGATGTACTAAAAATTATTGCTCCATGTCTTCTATGCAGCTGTTGTGCAGATGTTGATTTTGAGGTAAGAGATGTGATGATGTTTACACGTCTTACTTTCCTTGTAAGGGGTAATGTAATTTGGGAGGATGTTACAAATAAAATAAATTTGTGTGTCCTGATATTTCAAGAGGAAGACAGTGTGCTTATATATTTAACTTTGGTCAGAGAGGTGATTAATGCTCTGATGAAGCATCAGTGTTGATTATACTAAATGGAAAAAAAGAGAAGCAGAGACTTGTAGTCAAATAAATAGATAGAAGCAAAACATCCAACATTTGAACATGGTGGTGTCTATATGGATGCTCCATATATTATCCATTTTAAATAAAATGTGAACCTCATCATCTAGGTCTGATTGCCAAGGCATATGAATCCTTCCCTAGTCTGAAATACAGGCTGCCAGTGCTCTGGATTCTCTTCAGAAGTTCTGACATCTTCCAGTTCCTACAAAAAGCTCACTTATGCAAAGAGAGTTTTAAGAAAGAGAGTGTAAGATATACTTCCCAATTATGCCTCTTTTTATCCTTGTGTTAAATTTGGTCACTGTAAACCACAATTTATCTGTGTATTTACTACATGGAGGAATTTCATTACAGCAGTTTTTCCATAGATGGCCTAGCCTTGTAGCCCAAATTATTTAGTTGCAAATGTATAAAAATAGGGAGGTTTTTTAACTTAATCTTGATTTCATGATTCTCTTGGAAAATCATAAAATATATTAAGCTGGACCAACATTTCCACAAAAAGGAACAAAAATCTAAAACTGAGCAGGACTGCCCCCTTATGATAAGATGTATGAAATCTGACACTGTCCCCTGACTTCCTACAGTTTTCCACTGTCCAGCTCCATTCTTGGTATTATCTGCCTGGCTTCTCTTAATCATATGATTTCCAATTCCTCTGTTAGACCCTGATTATATAAAAATTAATCCTTCCCCTCAGTGACTTCAGAGTTGAATGAGAGAGGCAATTCTAAGAAAACACGTGATAGAGACTTTATGAAGACTCTTACAAAGTCATATACATAGTGTAAGGGGGGAATTGAGGGGATGTATACTATGCATGTGTAAAAACTTTATAGTTTTGTTTTTGTTTTTTTTTTTTTTATTTGACAGAGAGCACAAGTGGGCAGAGTGGCAGGCAGAGGGAGAGGGAGAAGCAGGCTCTCTGCTGAGCAGGGAGCCCGATGTGGGGCTCGATCCCAGGACCCCGGGATCATGACCTGAGCCGAAGGCAGCCGCTTAACTGACTGAGCCACCCAGGCGCCCCAAGACTTTATAGTTTTTGTATAATAAAAGTTCTCTATGTAGGAGTTACCATTCCTATGAAAGAGCCAGAGGACTGAGAGGTAATTGTTCTTTCAGCGAATATTAATAGAATTTTTGCTGACATATACTTTATTTGTAGAAAGTAAGTGAAAATACTGGTGGAACAAGCGGAATTGGATTGTGAAACTTTAATATTTAATGCTAAGGAATTTAGAAATCTCCCAGCAACCCTTCTCAGTGGATGCCTTAAAGCATCCATTATATGTAATGAATGAACTACTCTCCTGTGCATCTAGAATGGTGCTAACTAGGTAACATCTTTGAGGGAGCTGAGAAAGTAGTCCCTTGAATCATTTTCTGTAGGCTAGGTAATGAAAAGTTTGGAAGCAGGAATTATCAGTACGAGGAACCACTATGGAACATGGATTCCGTCATAGTGTTGATGGTATGGAAACAGAGTAGAAAAGAGACAATGGCCTGAACAAAATGAGCAGGAACCATCCTAAAGGGAGAAATAATTCGGAGACATTTCATAAGTATACCAAGTGGGACTGATTCATGGCTTTGATGCCAGCTGAGCATGAAAGAAAATTTGGAGATGATTCTGATTCATATTGTTCTAATATCTGATGTTTAAGAAGCTCAATGAGGGGCACCTGGATGGCGCTGTCAGTTAAGCATCCAACTCTTGATTTCGGCTCAGGTCATGATCTCAGGGTCATGAGACTGAGCCCTGCAATGGGCTCCACACTGGGCATGGAGCCTGCTTGAGATTCTCTCTCCCCCTCTCCCTCTCCCTGTCCCCACCCCCAGCCCTGCTCTCTCAATCCCTTTCTTTCTCTCTCTCAAAAAAAAAAAAAAAAGAAAGGGCGCCTGGGTGGCTCAGTCATTAAGCGTCTGCCTTCAGCTCAGATCATGATCCCAGGGTCCTGGGATCGAGTCCCACATCGGGCTCCCTGCTCAGCGAGAAGCCTGCTTCTCCCTCTCCCACTCCCCCTGCTTGTGTTCCTGCTCTCGCTGTCTCTCTCTGTCAAATAAATAAATAAAATCTTAAAAAAAAAAAAAGAAGAAGAAGAAGAAGCTGAATGGATAATGATGCCATTAGCCAGGTTAACAAACTTGGAGAAGAAACAGTTGATTTGTGAGAACCTCATAATTTGTATTTGAGTTATGTTGGATTTTTGGTATGTAGAGAAAAAGTTTGGGATGTGTTCAGCATATAGATGGTAGTTGAAGCCATGAGATTGTCCCAAGGGTGAGTAGAAGAAAGACAAGTAGACTTTTTATCCCATGGAGGCAATAAGGGAATCTGTCTACTTCCAGGACTTTTAGTAGGGGGAAAAAAAAAAACCATGAAACTGCTAATACATTATAGTCCCCTCTATGAGTCTGAAGTCTGAATTCATACCACTGTTATGGATGAGGAACGTCGTAACATAGAAACTGATCCTGACTGGTGATGACAGATGATGGAATTAAATGCAAAAGCACACTAGAAGGAGATCACCAAAGACTGATTACCAAAACACTCTGTTCCTATAGAAAAAGCTGATATTCACAAGAACAGATCAAAAATTACATAATGTTCTAAGAATTAATTCACCACCAACAAACTGCATATAATACAAAAGTCTGCAATCAATCATATAAGAAATATCTAAATAAACATTAAAGAGGCTAAAGAAGAAACAGAAAAAGGTCATAAGGGGAAAATGAGACTATTTGAAAAAGGACACGAGGATCTGAAAACAAACCAAATAGAAATTCCAGAAATAAGGAACACTCATTGATGAAACCTCATTGGAAGGGTTGAGCTGAAACCTCTCTTTGGGTTGAGCTGAAAATTAGATACAGGTGAAGAGGGAATTAATGAACTGGATGATCTATATGAGGAAAATAAATAGGAGGGTGGGAAAAGATAAATTTGAAGGGACCAAAAAAATTTAAAGAATTGTGAAAGCTAGAATAAACTACTCTTGCATGTGCCAAAAAGAAGTCACAGAAAAAGAGAATACAGAGAATGTACCGAGATAATATTCAAAGAGATAAATGGATAAAATCATGCAGACTTAATGCCCTGGTTTCTCAGATTCAAAAAGTACAAGGAGTTTTGAGTTAGAAGAAATGACACTCAGATACAACTTGAACTGCAAACTTCAAACTAAAAAGGGAAACCTAAAATCAGGAAGTGGGAGGGCGGGAAGGTTATCTCTAATATGTAATTCCTTGAACGTTAGGGATTATGAACATTTTACTCTAAGTTTACTGGCTAGTTGTGTTTTCTCTCTTTGAATTGTCTATTCATATCTGTTGCCTATATTTTTATTGGGTTGTTTACTTTTTTCTTGTCAATTTATAAATGTAATTTGTATGTTGAAGACATTGACCCTGCATCTGTCCTCTGACCTGCAAATAGTTTCCACAAATCTACCCTTTCTTTGTGGAATTTATATATATATATGTATTTATATTTTTATATTTATATACAAATATGTGTCATATATAGTCACATATGTCTATTTTAATATCTTCTCATTCTCCTGTCTTGATTATGAAGTTATCCCCAACTTTATATTTTATTTATTTCTTTAATCTTTTTATATTTAAATCTTTAACTTACCAGGAATTTTATTTGTAGAAGACAGAATCAAACATTTTTTTCCTTCAGATGGCCAGACAGCTATGTCATGACAATTTATTAAGTAGCCATTCCTTGCTGAATTGAAATACTGTACATTAAATTCCCATAAATAATGGAATCTATTTCTAGATTCCCCTCTGTTTCATTGATCTAATTATCTGTTCTTACAACAGTGCCTTATGATTCAATTATGGCAATTTAATGATGTATTCTATATCTAGTCATAGCCAAACAGCCACTTATATTCTTCTTTATCATATTTTTTGCTACTATCAGATTTTTCCCTTCCTGTGAATATTAAGGCAATTTTTCAAAAGTTAGAATCCTATTGGTGTTGTATTAAATCTGTATACTATTTTTCAAAAAGTAGCATTTTTATGATGGTAAACCTGTCTCATCCCAGAAGTGTTATGTCTTTTTATTCATTCATATCTAATTTTATATTCTTCATAAGATCAAATGGTTTTCTTTATATAGAACCTCTATCTTTTTTTTGTTAAAATTTTCCTAAGTAATTTATAGGCATTATCACTGTTAAGAAGGAATATAGATGTATTAGATACTTATTCTTAATATTGAAAAAGGCTATTTATTTTTTTACCTTTTATCCATTCTTCTGACTGGATTCTGGTATTTAACTTAAGAAACATTTTTGCTTCTTTATACTTGTTTTTTCTAGTTAAAAATTACAGAGCAAAGTGAAATCATTTTAACTTCTCATGTCTATTTACCAATTAGCTCATTTTCTTTTCTAGTCTACTTGAGTGGCAAAACTGAACAGTAATGCCAATTGTGAGAATACCTGCCAAGTTGATGACTTCAGTTGAAATGTTTCACAATTTAAAAAGACATTGGCTATTATTTTTCATATTGTTTTTCTAGTCCTATTTTACCTAGAGTAAGAATTAGCAAAAAGAAATTTTAAAGATGAGATAGAAAACATTTTAGACTTTATGGGTCATATGGTCATTGTGTGCAACTATTCAAGTCTGTCATTGTTGCATGAAAATATTTACAGACAATATATAAATACTGCATATAACTGTGTCCTAGTATGACTTTTTTACAAAAAAGGTGGGTAGGCTAGATTTGGCCCACTGATCATTGTTTGCTGACCCCTTACCTAGATTTTTATTAAGAATTGATACCGAAGTATCTAAAAGCAGGGTATCATAGTGGTCATGTTTATAGATTCTGGAACAGAGTGCCTGGGTTTGAAGTCCTCCCCATGACTCCTTATATGTGAACTTAGACAAATTATTTAACCTCTACTTGCCTCAGTTTTTCCATATGAAAACTGTGTTTAATAATAGTACATATTTTGTAAAGATACTGTGAGGGGGGAAAAATCACCTGATACTTATAAAGCATTTATATGTTATGCATATGCTAAATGTTACATAAATGCTTAATTAGCTAATAAATAAAATACTTTTTCAGCATCTGATATACCAATATGTTTTGAATTATATGATGTCCTAGCATTATACAATTTATTACACTATATTCTTTTGCTACTTACCTAGGTTCTAGGTACTAATGTTCTATTTGAATTTTTTGCATTTATATTTATATTATAAATGAGCCTATAGATTTATTTTTAGAATACCACTATCATCAGTATAAATGTATAGGTATATAATATTAGTTTAATATTTCTAGAAGTTGCAATCATTTTATTGTATAAATTTTCCATTTTTAAATACCTAGAATTTAGCTAAAAATTATCTAATCCTATTTACTTTTCAGTTATAAATCATTATTCACATCTGAGCCTTTTCATAAAAAATTACATGTTCTACTTCTTACATAAATTTTGGTAAATTTTTAAATTTCTTACTGTAGGAATAAAAAGGAGAAAAGTCAATATTGGTTAAATCTAATGGTAGGATTATGGTGGCTTATAAATTATCTTTTGTATATTTCATTTAAAAAACAATTCAGAAATTAAAAATGACTAAATTTAAAAATAAATATAATGTTTTATTACTAGCTTCAAATGCTGATGACAGCTATTAATGTATAAAACACAGGGGTGCCTGGGTGGTGCAGTCAGTTAAGTATCAGACTCTTGGTTTCAGCTCAGGTCATGATCTCAGGGTCCTGGGATCCAGCCCTGTTTCAGGCTCCATGCTCAGTGTGGAGTCTACTTAAGATTCTCTCTCCCTCTCCTTCTGTCCCTCCCACTTATGCTCTCTCTCTTTCAAATAAATCAATAAATCTTTAAAAGCAAACAAAAAACACAGGTATGCAAGAGGAATTTGTATTAGTTTGTTTAGCCACAATAATGTTGCATAACAAATAACCCCTAAAGCTCAGTGGCTTAAAACTACAGGTATTTATTCTCATGCTAATGGCTATGCAGGTCAATTGTGTCTCAGGGAATATACCCAGGCTGAAGCTAGATGGCTCTGATTTGGGCTGTAAGTTGGCCTCAAGTCTACTCCAGGTATATTCAATCTGGAACTGTAGCAAATGCAGCTACCTGGATTATGTATTTCTAGTGGCTGATCACTGGAGAGCAAGAGCCAGGCCAAACTACTTAACAATGTTTAAGGCCTCTGTTCATGTCACATCTACTAACATTCCATTAGTCATTAAGTCATATGGCCAACCCTAAATATCAGTGTACAGGGACATATACTGGGCCTTCAAATGGCGGGGGAGGGTAGTGCATGAATATTTGCTGAACAGTAATCTATGCTATCACAGTCAAGTTAGCAGTTTATTTCAAATTTGTAAAGAACCCATCCACCCATGCCAAAATAAAATGAGTCAGCTGTTTTTAGTTTCCCCGCATTTTTTTAAAGATTTTATTTATTTGTCAGAGAGAGAGAGCACAAGCAGGGGGAGCAACAGAGGGAGAGGGAGAAGTAGGCTCCCGCTGAGAATGGAGCCCAATGTGGGACTTGATCCCAGGGCCCTGGGATCATGACCTGAGCCAAAGGCAGACACTTAACCGACCGAGCCACCTAGGTACCCCTGGTTTCCCCACATTTATTTTGCTGTTCTCAGCCTGAGCTAGGGCTTCTGTGGGTGTTGCTGGCACTTGTGGTACCTTGTGCCCATTTGAAAAGGACACTTCTCTTCCTGGTTTGACATAACTCTGCATGCACATGCCATGGTAAGTGTGGGCTACGTTCATCCCCCCACATACCTACTTGGTGAGGTGCATTTGTCCAGCCACAAAATGTTCAACTCTTTAAGATGGCCCTGGGCTTTCCTCAGGCAGAATTGTAAAATTAGAAAATTTTACTTTGGAGCTCTTTTTATCATCTGCCCTTCTTTTTGTTGTTCACTGTCCATCCACCTCACTGTTCAGTCTTACCCCAACTCTTGACCTGTGACATCCCATCAAGTTACTTATTGGTTATTTTCCTTTACTCAAAACTGCCAGTCTTCTTTTCCAGGCTCTTTGCATTTCATATTTTCCTACTGATGGTGGTAATGAACCCTCCCATCACATTTAAACACAGCTTATGTAAACTCTCTGTGCTTCTCTTACAGCATGGGGGATTAATTTAATACCTTCCTGATGGCTTCTGGAAATTTCACCAAAGAAACATTTTATATTTGTATTTTTTTCTGCTTAAATTTTGTTTTAGATCAACTCATCTATTACTATCTTAATGTAGAATAGAAAATGTTAAATATTTAAGCAAAACTACTTTCATGTTCAGTTCTCTGCAGCAAAGAAACAGGTTTCTTTTTTCATGCATCTAAAAGTAGATACAAGAATCTATATACATTTAATGAGTGATATAATGTTCATAGTTAAGTATTGCACATAATTTTGATAGAGTATTTCACTTTATTTCAACTTTTAGTTTGTTACTAGTTTTCTAGAATTCATTAAGAATGGTTTTTTTTTTTTCATTTTAGATTAGATCTCTTGATGAAGAAAATGTGGTTGGAAAGATTTCCAAGCAGTGGACTGGTTTCATGAGAGAAGCATTTACAGATGCTGATAACTTTGGCATCCAGTTCCCTTTAGACCTTGATGTGAAAATGAAAGCTGTGATGCTCGGTGCATGTTTTCTCGTTGTGAGTCTATTCTTGCTAATCTTGGGTTTAGATGGTTTTTCTAGTATCATTCTGAAATGATTTAGTAAGTTGTACATTTTTAAATGACCTTGTTAAATTTATAGGTTTTATTCCAAGGGGGCCCATTTAATTCTAGCTCTGAAATTTCATTATCTCCTGGTATTCTGGGTTTGCAGGTGACTAGTTTCTCTGGAGAGTCTATGCAGTTTCATTTGGTAACAGAAAGACCTCATGTGTTAAGGAGGGGCCCTGGTCTTTGGGGTTTTTATTTAAAAATTGAAGTCAGTACTGTGAAAAAGAGTTTGAATTTGGGCTTACATGGAGTAGGCTCAGTAAAACAAGATTTTGTCCTGATTCATTATTAAATTAAATCATCTAATACAGGAGTGCAAACTGTAATAAGAGTAAACATCCAATCAAGCCATTAAGTAGAACTGCCATTTGAAAGGAATTACGTGGGATAGAGCTGTGATTCTGAACTTATCTTCACATTTAATCAGCCAGGGAACTTTAAAAAAAAAAACCCAAGTATCAGGCTGTATGCCAATTTAACTAAATTAGAGGCTCAGAATTAGAAGTTTGTATAGCTCCCCAGGTGACTCCATATGCAGCCAAAATCAAGGACTCTTGGGACAGAGCAAGAGTTTCCAACCCTAGCTGCTCAGTAGAAATACCTGGATAGCTATCAAACTCCCTTTGTCAAGACTGCAGCCAGATAGTAAATCAAAATATCTGAAGTGGGACCAAGCCTGCAAGCTGTTTAGAGCATCAGGTGATTCCAGTATGCAAGGAAGGTTTGGAGCCACTAGATGAACATCTTAAACACTGACGTGAGGATGCAATGCCAAAAACACTAAAAAGTGAGAAAATATACAGAAAAAGGATCCAGTTACTTCAACAAATAAGTGTCAGTAAAATGAAACGATAAAAATAATATAAAAAGAGAGAGAAACTTAAGAGACCTCAACTTAATGCTATTTGTAGACCGTATTTAGATACTGATTTGAACAAATGAATATAAAAAGACATTTAGAAGGAATTCAGAGAAATTTGAACATTGACTGGCTATTTGATGATATTAATATATTATTTTTAAAAATTTGCTAATGACATTGGGCTTATATAAAAACAAGAGAGTCCACATTTTTAGGGGCACACACTGAAGTGTTTCAGCATAAAATGGTAGGATATCACAGATTTGCTTTTAAATAATGAGGGTGAGGGCAAGGGGGATTTAGGAGATAGAGTAATTAATGAACCAAGATTGGTCATGTTAATAATTATTAAAACTTGGTGAGTGGCCATTAGGATTTTATTTTGCTATTCTATCTAATTTGGGATAGGCTCGATGTTTTCTGTATAAAGTTCTAAATATAACCACAGTTAGGTTTAAAAACTGTGCTTTCACTGTTTATTTCACGTGAAAAGTAAAATTAGACTTAACCTTAGGAAATGGTTTGACCAGAGGTACACACACAATAACCAAAGATATGGTGTATAAAGGGAAGAGAGGACAGTCTGGGGTGTTTGGATAGATGAGAAATGGGGTTGGGAGTTGTGGTGGGGTTATTAGGAAATGACTATGGTGCACATTGGGCCTCTTCTAAAGGACTTTTAAAGATTGGACAACTTCTTGTAGATGTGGGGAAGACACTGAAAATTATTTAGTTAATTGGTTGGTTTTAAACTAGGTATAAATAAAAAGCTATAAATCCAAATCTCAGAAAGATAAATCCTGGTGACTATGTAAGAAATGGATTGATGAGAGGTAAAATTAACAATAGTGCAATTTCAAGTAAATGATGATAAGGATTAAATTATTTCTGTGTGAACAGATAAAGGAAAATGATAGATGTGAGAGAATATCCATAGGATTTGATGAAAGTCATAGGGAAGGGGGGTCTGGTTAGACACTGATGTAGTGAGACAAGTTGGGGAACACAGTGGACAAGTTTGCGAGAGAAATCATAAAACTGGGACAAAAAAATCTAAGATGCATGCTACCCCTAAGATGGCTGTTATTCTCCTGAGAAAATCTGAAAGTTGTACATTGAATTCCAGTCTTAAGAAAAGTTGTATTACTAGAGAAGAAGTACAAAAAGTTAAGGAAGAAAGATCAAAAATAGGAATATTCTGAGTGGCATGAGAAAAAGTGAAATTTAGAAGAATTACCAGAGAATAAATTAAATTCATGCAGGTAATCAGTAAGTGAATAGAATTACAGGATTTATGTGTTATTATATTAGAAAGCTATCAACTTTTCCCAGATGTTCCCTGCTTTGTTGCTGAAAACTCATTTCTGTATTTTTGTTTTTATCTAGGACTTCATGTTTTTTGAAAGCAGTGGAAACTGAGAATAAAAGGAGCGTGATGGTGGATTAATGAAAGTCTCCTCAGAAAGTTTGAAGTCTGTGTATTGATTGGGACTATGTAAAAGAAAAGCTCACTGTTTTTTTTTTCTTTACTGAAATGACTTATAGCATATGTGAATTATACTGTGATGCCTGAAGCTCCTGTCATATATGACTTTTCAAATTATGAGTTTATTTTCTATATCACTTATAAATGTTTTTATGCATTTTTTATTTCATACATTTTCTTTTTCTTTATGTATTTTGGAGAAAGGACATGGGAATTTTTACATTTAATCATGAAACTTCCCATGGTAAATTGTTTTGAACTGTAATCTCTTTTATTTTCAATTTTTAGAGAAAATTATTTAAAGCCTTATTGAAGTAATTTTAATATAAAAAGTTACATTTTATTAAATATAGTTCCAATTTACTTCACATGTGTAACTAATGTGTTAGTTACTACTAATTAGTAGTAACTACTAAAGTTACTAAAATTAGTAACTACTAATGTTACTTTGCAAATGCCATATATTCACATGTTAAAAATCAATATAATTTCAGTTTCTTTTACAATTATGTCAAAATAATACTTAATATTCATATTACCAAGGAACATAAAATGTGTATTTTTTTGTTCAGCAAATTACAGTATATTTAATTTCTTTTATAAGCTAATCTGCTACTATAAAAAGATTTTCATATTGACAAGACAGTAAATTACTGATGTTTTAATGATTTCCAATGAAAAAGATATGTCCTAAAGAAGAACACATTTAAAGACTCACTATAAAACTAGAACATTGTTGTAATTTTTGAAGTAATTATTTACACATGGAATGAATGGTTAGCTCCTGTATTCATTTTATCATTCATAGAGCATAATAGTTATGAGGTCACTCAGGTATTAAATAGAACATATATATTCCTCTGAGTAGAAACTTCAGTAATGGTCTGTTCGATTATTTACACCAACAATCAAATAACTGATTTAAAAATTATTGATACATTTCGTTGCATATTTGATATTTAAATAAACTGTGATTAGTCAATTTCGATGGTATTCTAAACATTACACATTTACCACCTGTTCCCTTTCAGATCTCCTTTAAAAGGAGCAAAAGCATATGATGATCTTTATTAAAATCCATACCAGTGCTGTAAAGTAATATTTCTACCTGTCAGAAATTTAAAGGAATTTTTATACTGTATTTTGTAGGAAAGAGGATATGTCTAACTCACAATTTAACTAATGCAAAAAAAAAGTGTGTTTAGGAAATAAGGACTTTGGGGAGAAACTCCGGTTCATCTTTAGCAGAACTCCAGCAACACCACTAGCCCCTAGTGTTGAGAACATTGGGATGGCAGGGGAGCTACAGGGAAAGCGACAAACTTTCATTAGCCCAGACAGCCGCCCCCGCCATGCCAGATTCCAATAATGAGGTGTAACTGAAACACTCGTGTTGAGTTTACAGTTGGTACAGACAGCATGCCAGATAAAATGAAGGTACTTTCATTGCTGTTTCTTAGAGGCTACATCTTACTTTCATTATCCCTCTGCTCTCCTACTCCTCCTCCCCGTTCTTTGCATAAGATTCAGGAACTCTAGTTAAGCAAAGTAAAACTACAACTGATCTAAACAGTTCTTTCCTTCTTCAAGGATGTGCAAGGAAGTGTTGAGCAGAAACCCACACACTCTGCAGAACTCATTTAAGTTCAAATACTAGAAAAATATATTATCATGAAACATTAATAAAGAGAAAAATCATCACACATGAAAAGTTAGAAATTTAAATGAGAAAATTACCAGGAATTGCAACAAATGTCCTGACATTTGTACACAAGTTTATAATTTCAATGAGATTTGAAGGAATGCTGCATATTTATTTCTGGAAAAGGCAGTAGAGAAAAAGGAACATTCTGGTGAGACAAAATTTTAATGTTGAAAAATTTGATGGAGACACTGGAACAATAGATGGCATAAAGTAGAAGGATAACACATAAAGTAAAAGGGATTTTAGAAATTCTCCAGGAAGTCAGACAAACTCAAAGGGTAGAGGGAAAAGGTGATTCCTGAGGAACAGATAGATCAATTTTAATTGATATACAACAGGAATTTCAAAAGCAGAAATCAGATGGGGCCAAGAGAATACTTTAAAAATATAAGAAAATATATTTGCAACCAAAATGGACTGTAGTCTCTGGGTGAATGGATTTACTACATAGCAGACAAAATTAATCAAAATAACCTATTTATGATTATTCATAAAACAATTATCACATGCCTGTCCTATGGCAAACATTCTTAAGCTGTAGTAGAAGGGTTTCTGTGGCCTAGCTTCTATGATGTTGCCAGTCTGGTTCATTTTTCCTTACTTCACCAATAGGGTTCAATCAATTCAGTATTCTTTAATCACAAGCAATTTTTAAAGGAAGAAGAATGTGGGACTAAAAAGTAAATTCTATAAAGGTACTTGGGGCCTTGTCCCCCCATTTTCCTTTGCCTGCTTTAAAGTGGAGACCATACCATTTCAGAGATTCTTTCCCTCAGAATGATGTGACCTGTAGAAATGTAGTGTCATGGACTCATTCAGAACAGGGGTCCTTTTTGCCTGTCTTCTACCCCGAAGAGAGCAAAGGAAAACATCACATCTCAGGCTGTCATTCTGTCCATCAAGTTCTGAATTTTGGCTTCCAAATACACTCTGCAGTTGAACTGGGCCCTTGAAGAAATGGTTGATCCCAGAGTTGTGTCAGGGAAAAGAACAAGACAAACCTCAAACAACTTACGGAAAAGCAAGGAGGTACTTGATGGACCATGTCTAAAGGATGAAAGAACGATCATGAAAGGGCTCTCACCAGCAAAATTAAAGACAATTTGAGCATCAAAATATTAATAGCGAGGCATTATTACCTATTGAATCAAATAGGATACCACACACCCCTACAGATACACTTAGAAATAAATGTGCAAATTAAAAGTTTGATGAGAAGTAAGAGGCCTATAGTATCAAATCACTACCCCCACAAAGTCCTTTTAATTTGAAGGGGGGAAGAGTAATTTTACAGCAAAACCTAGCAGCTCCCACCATAATCAAGTGATTGAAGTGATCATCAGTAATGGGACAAAGTGCAACTGAGTAACAACTGATCAGAAGCAGTAAGAGGCAGCATCACAGGATCTATGTCATATGGGAGAGCTCACGGAATTTTTTTAATGCTCAGTGAGCTCACCTTTCATTGTGGTATGCCTGTTGTCCAGTACTTGTGTTTATCTGGTTATGAAATGGGCTTAGTTTGTAGTTTGTTGTTACGCTTATTCTCAGTGCACCTCAAGCTTCAAATTCTTCTAGTATTCAAGATGTGAATTAGTTTGCCAGAGGGTTTTACTAAATGTCTGCTCCTCAGAATCTGTCACTTGAGCATTACCAGCTGTAACAGTGCTTGTTAGCCTGGGAGTAGGGATGTTCTGTTTAAGTGTCAGTCTTAAGCAAACACTGTAAATCTTGTGAGGCCATACCCCAATTCAATGTTGTCTGAAGTCCGAGACTGTGGGGACTTGGCCAGTTTATCTCTTTAATCATGTCATCGGAAGGGAGCTCTCATCTGAAACCAATCATGCTGGCGACTGGATCTTGAACTTCCAACCTTGAGGACTGTGAGAAAACAAATTTCTGTGTTTAAGCCTTCTAGTCTGTGATATCTTCTTATGGTACCCTAAGCAGACTAATATACCAAATTAAAATCAAGACATTGAAAGAGTTTCATTCTGCCTGGAGGCACTAGGGTACAATCCTTTCCCTTGCCTTTTCCATCTTCATAGGCCACCTATATTCCTTGACTTATAGCTTCTTTCCATCTCTAAAACTAGCAAATGCTTCCATTGTAGCATTTCTATCTCTGACTCCAATTCTGCATTCTCTCCCACATTTAAAGGACCCTGGGGATAACATTGGGCCACGATGGATAATCAGGAATAATGTCCCTATTTTAAGGTTACTTGATTAGCAACTTTAATTCTATATGCAACTTAATTCACCCTTGCTATGTAACATAACACAGGGTTTAGAATATGGATATTTTTGTGGGGCCATTATTCTTCCCATTGTGTGTATGGATATTTATTATACATGTGAATATATGTATATATTTATGTATACATATTTCCATATAAATATCCATAAATAACATATAGTATTACTTTTCATGGGCTTTAAAAAGATATAAATGGCATCGTCCTATATGTACCTTCTGCAATTGAAATTTTTCATTCACTGTTTTTTCTTTTGTACCTTGCCCATGTTGATATTTGTATCTCTGGTTTGTACATTTTTATGGTCATATATAGTATTCTGTTTTATGACTATAATACCATGTATTTACCCGTTCTGTTCTGGATGGGCATTTTGGTTGTTGCTAACTATGATAGTTAATATTATGTTAATTTGGGTAGGCCTCGGTACCCAGATATTTGGTCAAACATTCTACATGATTCTGTGAAAGTATTTTTAAGATGAGATTACTATTTAAAGTAGACTTTGATTAAAGCCAGTTACCCTCCATAACATTGGTGGGCCACATCTTATCAGTTGAAGACCTTAACTAAAAATGATTGACCTCCCTCAAAGAAAAGGGAATTCTGCCGAATACTCCTTTTGGACTCAGACTGCAGCATCATCTCTTCCCTGGGTCTCCAATTTGTTGACCTACGCTACAGATTTTGGACTTGCCAGCCTCTACAATCATGTGAGCCAATTTCCTTAAAATTTCTCTTCCCCTCCTCTCACCTTCCCCTTCTGCCATCCCTCTTCCTTATTCTATTTTTCTAGAGAATCCTAATACACTAACTTTTCTCTATTATCAATCTTACAGAATATTTCTATACATGTTTCCTTATATGCATATGGAAGAGGTTCTCTAGAGCTATTCCTATTATTGGAATTGGTAGTTCTAAAAGTATGAGCATCTTCATTATCATGAGATATTGTTAACATTGCTCTCCAAATCAGTTATGCTGATTTATTGTTTCAACAGTAGCATATGAGCATTGCTATTGCTTTACATACCCCCCACATCTTGATATTTTCAGTTTTTGTCAACTGATATTTTTAAAAGAAATTTCATTGTTTTAATTTGCATTTCTGAGATTTCTAGTGAGTTTGAACATATTTTCATTTGTTTGTTGGATGTTCATATTTCCTCTAATACGAATTACCTTTTTACATACTTGGATCTTTTT